GGTCATGTTGTAACTGTTGCATCTTTGGCTGGTTTGGGTGGAGTCAACAAATTAGCAGACTACTGTGCATCAAAATTTGCTGCTGTTGGATTTGATGAAAGTCTTCGTATTGAGCTTCAGGTGAATCTAAAAAATTTAACCATTGGTGTTTGAGGTCCCCCTAGCTCTGCTGAATAAAATCGTCTGGCATTAGCCAAATAAAATGTTTAACAGTGCTGTCCCTACAGTGAAGGGTTTAAAATAGTATTGATGTAGAGATAGTCTTGTAGTTTTACATAATTAAATATTAAATTTGTGATTGATACTCTCCTATTTATTTAAATGTATCTACAGTACAGTATATACCTATTTATTTAAATGCACCTATAGTATATACAAGTCCTGATTTTACCATACTGTACTTTGTATTACAGATTAATTTGGTTAAGTCAGATGTATAAATGATCACATAAATGCATTACCCGTAACACATTATTGTGGATTACCAGGTTGAAGGTTACACTGGAGTCAAGACCACAGCTGTATGTCCCTACTACATCAGTACTGGCATGTTTGATGGAGTGAAGTCAAAGTAGGTGCTAATTAAGTTAGTGGTTCACACTCAGAGTTATTAAAGATATACCATATTTACTTTTATTTTTGATATGTGTTTTATGAAATTGGAAAAATCCCTCTGCCTCTCCTTGGCCTTGTACTTTTTTATCCTCTTCACCACTGATCGGCTCGTTAGCCGCTTAGGTAATCGGTCACGTCTCTGTTACACACTGTTGGCAAGTACTGGGCATGCACCAGCTCCTGAATGTACCTGAACCTGCTCCAGTGTTGGTCAAGTCTGGTCTTGAAAGAGCTCACACTCGGTGCCATCACAACACTTTCTGGTAGATTGTTCCAAGAGTACACAACTCTCACTCCGAAAAAGTTTGCCCTTACAGTTTTCTGGACCTGTGGCTTCTTCAATCTTGAGCTATGACCCCTTGTGGGGCGAGCGGCCCTCCAGCTTCAAGTAAGGACACTCTACTGAGTACTGTAGTGCCCCTTGAGAGGCTTGGACACCTCAATTAGGTCGCCCCTTGCCCTTCTGTAGAATAAGCTAGGCAAGTTCAGGTGCTCCAATCTCTCAGGGTAGTTGAGTTGCCGAAGTGCAGGCACCAGTCTGGTGGCCTTCGTTTGAACATTTTCAACCAACTGACAGTCCCTAGCATATCTCAGGGACCAGACGGGGTGACAGTACTCCAGATGGGGAAGCACTTCACTCTTGAAGATTGTTACGAGGGACAGGCCATCTAGATATCTGAACAACCTTATATGACCCAATAATTTATTTGCTTGATTTACCTTCTTCTCGCAATGGCCCGAGAACTTCAGCTCATTGTCAACATACACACCTAGGTCCTTCTCACATTATCTCAAATAGTGCAGTTTCTTCATCCCGTTGGGACATATGATACGCCTCCTTACCGTTGGTACGTCCCAGGTGCATCCTTTTACACTTCATGACATTGAATCTCAGCAGCTATTTCTTTGACTATTCTTGGAGCTCACAGAGATCCTTTTGCAACTGTTCTTTAATTACTTTCTCTATTCTTTCAAGCAATTTCATACTCTGCATTTTTTGTTTCAGGCTTTCACTCTCAAGTGGTATTGTATTACATCAGATTTGTGGACAGCTGATAGATACAAATTCTAATTTTAGTTGTGTATGATAATCAGATGTTATTTGTATCAGGTTATAATTGCTCTAGTATGAAAAAAACCAGGTAATTTTTGTACCTGTAAAAGAATAAACTGCTGAGTTGCCTTTAATGTATTTGCACAACCAACAGAGTGATCCCAATCCTCAAGCCTGAATATGTGGCCTCCGAAATTGTTGATGGTATCCTGCTAAACACCCCCATTGTGGTGCTGCCGCCTTTCTGCAAATACCTGGTCCTGCTTAAATAGTATGTACATTCCAGTGGTTTTGTGCACTTTATACGATACTTTCACATTTACAACACACTCTTTTCTTTTTTCTCCACTTTACAAACACTGTTCAAACTATTATTCCCTATAGACCTGTACATCTATTTATACTATTTCTTTACCCCTTGTCATCGCACTTACTGATCAGGTTGTCCTTTTCCCCTTCATCATAAAAAACACTTGTCCTGTTTTATCTTACCTTTTCCCCTTGGTAATTGCACCAGTTTTCCCACTGACCTGCTCGTACCAGCCTTTTTAGTGAGGAAACATTTGCTGCAGGGGTATATACCGTAAACTGTATTTAATGGTAAATTTACACGAGGCACCTTTTAGTTTGGCTGTCTTCACTCAGTTGGTAAGTAAATATATTATCAAACGTGAGATGTTTACCTGTGCGTCATACTCTCTCCAGCCATATCCCAAATGTGACCTTTGCAGGCACCTGATGCACATTCTCAAATGGCTTTGTAATACTTTTATGTAGAGAATGTCATTTAATTTTTATTTCATACCAATATAATTTAATTTATTCAGTCCATGTACTTGTAGTATTTACCTAGGTAGCTTCATACCCCTTTATTTCCCCTGACCAGATAAGTGGGGGTATAGTACTGTACTGTATATAGTCATCACACTGGTAAAATGTCCATCAACACAACCATGTCTAAACAATAAATTCAAATTTACTTTGGATGCATAAAGAAGGGCTTGAACAATTCCACAGAAAAAGAACAAGTACTGTACAACAAAATGTAATATGAACTTACACACCAGATCCACAAACTGAACTGAATTACTACTCACTCATTATTGCCAGTTATACAGTATTTTCCCTTTAGCCCACCTCACAACCACTGTCTCTTACAAACAATATAAGGGGATGCGGGGCAAGTGCTGGGTGAGATGTTTTTTACGCATAATTAAAAAAAAAAAAGTACATCATGTCAAGAGAAAATGATTTGTATAAATTTCCAAACAACAGAAGACTAGATGTATTTCTATGTACAATATTCTAAATTTACTTTTTCATCATTTCTTTTGCAACATATGCCATGAGACAGTGGTGTTGGTTGCATGCAGGAAACATCAGATGGTTCTCCATGTAACCAGTCATGTATGCTGTGCACAAGGTGGTGGTTGTGCATGATGCATATATCAACAGATAGGCTGCTTCTAATATCATAGTGATGGACTAGTAGGCTTGATGTTTACACCAGTATTAGACTATTTTATCTCATTTTGAGCTTGGAGAAAAAAAAATAACCTGATGCTCCCTGAAATGGTAAATAGTTTTTACTTCAAATCTGTAGTTTTGAAATTAGTTTTCACATTACAGGTATATAATTGCATGGTAAGAGATGAAGGACAGTACAAACATAGAAAACTTTCTTTGAAGTCTTGGAAGAAACGGTGAAAAATACGGGGTGTACTCGCAAGCCTACTACAGTATGTTCCATGGATTCATATGGCTAATGTTTGCTTGGGTGAAGGTTGCAGCACTAACTTATCTTTCCAGCTGCCTGCCCCAGAAGGCCTATGTACTTCTGGGGAGAGTAACTGGAATTACCTGTGCCTTGGATGAGCTTGTAGGACACAAGAACTTCAACTAAATATTCACAGGTCTTCAGTTGCAGGTTTGTAATTGCTGATAGGACTTACTATTGAAGGTTAGAACATTTTTATAGTACAGTTATCTGAAGAGTTTACTAGATCTCAGTATAATGCATCATGACAAACATTATACAGTAATAGGCTATAAAATAGATGGTGGGTTTTCAGTAGCTAGAAGTTTTATTCCAGCATGACAACCCTATTTTTGTGTGGAGGAATGGGGAAATTTTTTTTTAGGTTTATCAAAATTTTTGCTCATCTTAATATTGTCAGCGTTGCTTATTTGATAAACATTTAAACCATGGATTTAATAGTGACATTACAGTGGTGGGAGCAGAATAACCGGTATCTTATTGGATTTTAGAGCTACCTGTGCTGTATATGCAGCCACCAGGGAGAACACTACCTCTAAATGCTCTTTCTGTAACTTCGAGGAAAGGTGCATTACTTAATTTAATGGCAGGTTACATTATTCATGTGAACATAGCTGGATCATGAAAAAACATGTGTTGTCTAATGGTAGACCCTGCTGTCATATGGCATCACAAAAATTGTGACCAAGTTCCAGGTTGCTGATCTTTCTGATCCATTTACACACAATTGCAGGGTCTCATTTGTTTCTCGTACTGTTGACAGTCATTAGACTGATCTAAGAATTGCATCTGGATTCACCTTTTCAATTAAATACAGTATAATATAGTACAGCTACACACAGTACTGTTTTACCTTCACCCAAGACGATGAAGGTAAAACAGTACTGTGTAGCTGTAGCTGTATTTTAATTGATGAAGGTAGTAGTGTATGAATTGAGAGCTTGTAAGTGGATTGTATTGTATAAGTTATTACAGTAAATACAGTGTAAAGGAACACCCCGGGTAATGAACGAGTTAAGGAGTGAAGGACCAGTTCTGAAGGCAGTTGTTCCTACTCCACTAAGCTAATTCCTCACAGCTTCAATGTACAATAATTATGGGGAGTTAGGTTCTGGACCACCTCACAAAACCCCAATTTTTTCCAAAGATGTCACCTGTAATAAAAATAATATGAAGATTATAGATGTTTAAGGGAATTAATGGTTATTATACCCTTTAGAAACTCACTATAAGTGTTGCAATTACCATCTCCCGGTGAGTGTTAGCCTATGTAAACAGTCGGTCACCCTTTCTTCAACTCGCAGCTAGTTCACTATGTAAGCATCCAGGTACAGTACAAAACATAGATGTATTGTATTATATTGGTAAGTGAGAATATTTACTGGTATTCAAACATTCTTTTTCTTCATTGATATTTTTTTCCATTATAAGAAGATTAGATATTGTTTGTAAATCCAAGGAGTACAGGGTATTTGTATACTGCCAGTTATGTTCTGGGAAGCTTGTTTGTGACATCAGAGTGTCGTAGCCTGAAAGTTCTTTAACCGGGGTGTTCCTCTATCTAAGTTACTAGTAATTGCATGAATGTACTATAAATTAATGGACATGTTACTATTAATTGCATGCTTTTATAATTAGATTTATGATCCAAAGGTTTTGTAGATAGCTCATGATATAGACGTTGTCTCAGTATAGAACCACAGTGGCAGTGCTACAGTGTAGGGTCCATTGATTTCCATGGGAAAAGGTTGGCAATAGATATGGATATTGCCATTCAAGGCCAAAAAGACAGAAGGGCATTTAGTTAGTCACCCTGTCTGTCTGACCATTTCTGATTTCCAATGCTCATAAAAAATGGCAGTTCAGGAGCAGTTGTATGCAGGGTTTTAACACAGATCTGTAGCTGGTTCCATCCCAAGAGGTCATGTTAAAATTTACCTGTACAGTACAGTACTGTATTTTATTACTGTACTCGTATGATTTTTCAGTATAACTCATGGATAGGGCAGTGGGACCTCTGAGAGCCATTTTTCAGAAGATGATCTATATTCACATCCTTTGTATCATCCATAAGTTGGTTAAGTTTAAAACCTTGTGTGTTATGTCCTTTTCTGAGATTGAGACATAAAAATTTAGATAAAAGTGCATTCAGTATACTGTACCTTTCTATGTACTGTATCTTGTACCTGTATATGTATACTGTACAATATATACTCTTCATTCATGTACTGTATAGAAATTACAAAGCATTTTAGGGAAGTGCTCTCATTTTAATCGCCCAAAAGCTGCTGTAGAATATATTTCAAGAAATGCTATTGTTAAGATCTTTGAACTTACTCAACTTGGGTGCACACTTTGAGTACATAATCCTAAATAGAGATGTTGCAGTTTCATTTGACTATATTGAAGAAATGTTAATTTCTTCAATATTAAAAATGGTAACTGGTTGGGAAGGATACAGGAGTATAAGGTTGGTAAACCATATCATAACTTTTGTAGCTACATTGGATATACCATCTGCTAGATCAGTTTTATTCTCCTCCCATGATTTTTCTGATTTCTATATTATGGGCTGTCCATAAGCTTATAGCTCATCAATGGGAGATTGTCCCCAGATCCCTATTTGTTTTGAATGCAGACAAGCAGATAAATTATCTTTCCATCCTCCAAGAAGTGTGTAACAGTAACGATTGGAACCCTTCTGCTGCTATTTCTGGTCCATTATTAACTGTGGTTGTTGCCGATGGAAAATGGTTTATAAGGGTGATCGTGGAAAAGCCTTTCAGTCTTTCTGGCCCTGAATGGGAACATCCAAATCAGCTGCCAACCTTCTTTCCTCCAGAAATTGATGGACTTCATTATGTATAACTACATTGTACTATTGCCAATGTGCTCACAATATGACTTGGTGCCTTTTTTAATGTTAAGACAATGTGTATTGTGGACTATCTCCTCGCCTTAAAAAAAAAGATCCTTGTTTGTTAGAAATTGAATTTGGAATTTGCCAAAAGCTTTATTAATCATCATCTACACCAGGGGTCACCAAACTACGGCCCGCGACGTCAGTTCATCAGGCCCGCCGACGGTACTTGAATTTGCTTGATAAAACGTATGGAACACGAGACGTTGTGATACAATTTAAATTTAAATATTATGCGGCCCGCGCTCGTCATTCTTTCAGTTATCCGGCCCACTGTGAAAAAAGTTTGGTGACCCCTGATCTACACCATTGTATATACTTATAGTTTTGACAAATTCATTGTTCATATATTCCTGTCATTCTTTCATATAAGTATTGTTCATTTCTCATGTTTATGGAAAACACTGTTTTAACTGTCTCTCTGGATGAATGAGAGTGAGATGGTGTAATTGTTTGTATCAATAGAGAACTGTTTCAGTGAGTGGACACATTCTTTACAACATGAATTTTCTTGTGACATTGCATTACTGTATCTTTTTCCCCAGCCTTCTTCCAGCAAAAGGTTCTTACCAACTGTACAAAGCATGTGGGGGTCACCTCACAATGGACGACTTCCGCGGCCGTACAGTGGAGGATGGCCCTTGCAAAATGAATGGTGCTCAAGAGAAACGGGTGACTGGTAAAAGAATCATTCCTTAGAGGGATAAGTGTTTGGTTTTTAACTGTACTGTGTATATACTGTATTGGGGTGATGCATATATATATATATATTTTTTTTTTAGAACTAGAGATTGTTTAATGAGTCTCAAGTGATGTAGTGATTTATTGATGACGTTCCCTGTAATTAGCTGAGCTGTCATGTTGCCATTACCAAACACAGAACTCTTAAAGTGTACTATAGATTAATGCAACTTGCATCTCAGTGTTATTTGTCTTATGCTGTAATTGTTAAGAATTTTCCTTTGAACTAATATTAATGTAAGCAATCAATATTTGGGACAGTAAAAAATATTATAACCACAAGGTACAGGTTACAATAACTGGCCTCTTCTTACAGTACCATATGCAGATAGAGTACAAACAGGCCAACAGGAATAAGCATACAGAGAAGGCAGTGACGGAGTTTAGTCGTGAAGTAGTACAGTGGAATAACGAATTTACCGGAAATGGCAAATTTATGGAATCGGAGTGAGTGACTGTGAAATTTGAATTTGGCACCTTGTAGTTTAAAAATTGGCGAGTACAGTATGCATGAAATTCAATACAACATTGAATTGTTATTGTAAGGTAAAAATAAGGAAATTTTTACAGTGAAAATAATTTTACTTGCCGGTAAGTATTTCACAATACTTTTTAGGATTTGGTCATGTTTGGTTTGATCCACTGTCAAATTTTGACAATGGTATTTTCTTCCACTCATAACACCACCACATCCCGCCTCTTGCTTTTAAGGTATTTTTACAATACGTACAGTAAACGTAATTTTACATTTAGGTGATCTTTGAGTACTTTAGGCTTGATGTTTGGTTTGATCTGCTGTTGTAACACCACAAATACTGTACAGTATAAACAATTTCAGCAGTGACATTCGTTCACCCACTAACACTACTGATTCTCACCACATACAGATCTTGCTGGTTTATTTGTGCTTATATTCTATAGGAGAGTGTACAGTACAGTAATTTTGCATTGTTTTTATGTACAGTACAGTACAGCACGGTATACAACTTTATTATTGTACTCAGACTATTTTTTATTGTTTATGTATAATGTATGCAAATAAATTATTTTAATTAAACCATTATATGTACTGTACATATTTGTTAATGAAGGAAAAATGAAGGTCTACATGTTTATTTTGCAAGGTTATTTATATTTTTGTGTACAGTATTTCACTTGAATCCTAAGGGTACACAACACAGTACAGTACAGTGCAGTACTGCTTTTAAGAAAAATTCTTTAATGCAGAATCAATTCGGTTCCAATCCACTTTATAAAAAGAGATCTTAATGTACAATACAGTATATAATATATGTATATGTGTGAAAATTAGGTGTCCAAACTCACTGAATTGTTTCTCTTTCAGTTCTTGTTTATTCTCAGTACTGTACTGTACATGTGATATGTGCGAGTACATCTGTACAGTATATAGAAATTTTTTAGGAATGATTTTTTGTTATATGAATAATAGTACATATGTACAATATATGGGCTTTACTCTGTTACCAGAATCATTACAACATAAACATTTTGTTTATGGTACTAAAATGACTTTTATGGTTGACTCCTCCACTAAACAACTTATGTTTGTCTCCAGCATCCTGAGGTTTTTACCTGAATTAATCCTTAAACAAACAAGAGTTAACCTTTAAATATGAGAGACTAAGACTGACTTATGACATGGTTATGAGCGAGTTGAAATAAGGTAATTGATTAAAAAAAGAAACTAAAAGTTAGGCTTGAGTAAAGATGAAGGACTCGTGTGCATAGGAGAGAAATACAGAGTTATGTGGAGCCATCATGCAGGCAGTTTTAGTAGTGACTGTGCACCATCCATCTGAACAGGGAAGAAGTTTGTTGAATCCTGATAGATATTTATTGGACCTGAACATGATTAGGGTATTGTATATGAAGTACCCTGCACTTGTATTATGGTCCAACTTTTGTGAGATATTTGTATTTTACAGAATAATTAGCTGATTTGGTTATTTCTAAAATCTTGATGGAATTATATTTTAGCTTATGAACAAAATACAATAAGATTATACTGGACTTATTTTATGGACGACTCAAAAAGAGAATTGCTTTGACAAAACATGACAAAGAGTAAAAGATTAGTTAGAGAAATACTGTACACTTAGCATATATTTTTATCTTTTATTCATTCAGCCACCACTGCTCAAATACTCTACTTCCACAAATGTTATTAAAATGTGACTGAAAGATTTGGCAAATGTATCGGCATGACAGCTTGTGGTTTTTTCTCATTGTGTAAATATCAAGTACTTTTGTAACAAAGGAGGATACTGGTGTGTGCAATTCCAGTTTAAGTATCACTGTGAGGAAGGTGTCATTGTTATAAACTTGTACTGTAGTATTTTTGAAAGTTTTTAATGATGACACCAACCATAAGAGACTGGATACCTTTCCTCATATTAGTGTGAGCCTTAGTAGTGTTGTATTAGTAGACACAACTTTTCCATCACCATGTTTCTTCGGTACATTATCACAATGCATCTTTCCTATACAGCAGGGGTGGCCAACCTTTTGTGTGATGTAATCTACTTTTTCCACAGTTACCCTGATGCGATCTACCAGCCTAATATTCACCCATTGCCATAAAATACGCAGATTCGTAGAGAGAGAGAGAGAGAGAGAGAGAGTAAACAAATAATATTTTTCAATAATTGTTATGATATATTGTTAACATGACAAATTCATAAACTTACTTTACTAATGAGATTATTAGCACTGCATGTTGTCTGCCATCTTTGTGTAATTAGGACTGTAGGTGGTGACTGCTAGCCTCAAGCAAGCATCCAGGTGTTCATCTGACATTGTTAATCGGTATTTGGATTTGATGTGTTTCATGTGTGAAAATGTTGATTCACAAAGGTAGGTTGATCCAAAAAATGCTGTGAGGTACATGGCACATTTTCTGACATTGGGATATTTTTCTTCACTGAGAAGATTCCAGAAACTTCCTCCTGTTGCCATGGATTTGATCTGAATATCATTTTTAAGCTTGAGAAGCTCATTTTCGACTTCAGATATGTCCATGTTAAATACTGATGCCATTCTAGATGCAATATCTTTAACATTTGTGATTTTACCAAATGGAAAACACACATATTTTGCAACAGGTTGCTGTATCTTGAAACCGTCAGTCAAAATATGAGGCAAGGTTTTGTACCTGTTCAATATATCGAGCACTGTCAAACAGGTCATAGTCTTTTCCTTGGTTTTCTAGTTCAGACATCATATTTCTGAAGCTTCGTAGTTGATGTTGATGCAGCTGCGAAGACACTAGTTTTAGTTTCTGCTTGAAAGCAGCCACAGGACTAATGTCAACTATAGTTTTATCTTTTCCTTGCAGATCTAAGTTTAATTTATTCAGCATAGCAGTCATGTCAACTAAAAAAGCTAAATCTAACAGCCACACTTCGTTGTGATCAAAAGGCCAATCTTTTGAGGCCAAAAAAGAAGTTAGGAAACCTATCATCACTCCTGCACAGGGCAAAGAACCCATTGATTCGGCCAACCAATGCAGGTGCCCCATCAGCATTTTTAGATATGAGCAACTGGCAATTGTGAACTATTAACAAAATCACTGAAAGTCTGAAATAAGTCTTCATCCCGAGTTTTTCCTTTTAATGGTAGAATTTTCGGCAGTTCCTCTTTGGTACTCATGTCTTTAAACACCATTCTAATGAAAATACATAACTGTGATGTATCGACCACATTAGTAGACTCCTCAAATTGTAATGAAAAGAACACACACTCATGTCTGTCTTTATTCAGTTGTTCACCCAAATCCTCAGCCACGAATTCACAGCGCCTAATGACAGTGTTTCTTGATAACTGAACATCCTTAATAGAAGACAGTATTTCAGACTTATTTTTGAAAATTTCAAACAACGAATATGCTGCTTCTAAAAAGGCCTCTTTGAATATTTCTCCATCTTGAAATGTTTTTTTTTTTATACTTAGTAAGCACTTGACTCACCCTGAATGATGCAATGGTTGCTACCCTTGATTTTGAGCTCGCGTCTGTAAAAAGAGTTTGTTGTGCAGTAAGCCATGATTTCAGTTCATGAACTTTCCTCTTTAGTAGCTCACTTTTGAGGGAAATCATTATCATTCTTCTTGTGAAAACTTTTGAAATGCTTTTCAGGATTTTCTTTCTTAGCTAGAGCTGGAGACGCATGGCAGAGCAAGCACAGACACTTCAAATTATTCATGGTAAAAAATTAGTCTTCTTCCCATTCATTGTGAAAATGGTAAATTTGGGTATTTTTAGTACTTGGTCCAGAACTCATTTTTGGTTCCGTTGATGGCCAATAACCTATATTTGGAAAAGATTAAGTCGTACTTCAATACAAGAATTACTTTTTTCCGTGACTTTTTCGACATGAATGTGAGAATTACTAACATAACAGAGTAACGTTCTTAACTTCTTTTTTTTATAAGCAATTGTCATCGGCGAGTGTGGACACTTCTGTCTACTCTAGGGTTGCGGCGAGAACTGTCGCTAAGCTAAAAAGTCAGTAATTCTTGTAATCACCCAAGACTTTTCCATAACAAGAGGCAGCACCTCACACTTCCAAGTATTGCAGATGACTGAAAATCACTGCATTGTTGGTGACAAGTATGTAGGCTTGCTGGGCAAGGTTGCCAAATATGATTCTCTCTCTCTTTACTTTTGACAAGTCTCCTCAATATTGAGTCGACTTTTTCATTACGAAATTCATTAATACAAGGTTTAGTATGTATTTGTAAACTTATAAAAGCAAATACCTGCCTAATTTTAGCCTACAACTGATGACAACTTGCTGATCAGTTTCCTCACCAGGAACCAGCCAGCACCGGCCCGGATGAATGCGAACACTTCCTCTCAGGTTCCGCCACACACGGCATGGCATAGTCGAAGTTTTTTTGTATGTATCGCCCTGATGTGTCCATAATGATGATCTATTCCCAGAAAAAATCTAAACAAACATAATATTCCAATGATTATGAGTAAAATTTGAAGAGGATTTTTGTATGGCAGCTTAAGAAGGATGGATCATTAAGTTTAACTTTGCCATGCGATCGATTAGAGAAGATCTTGCAATTGACCAGTTGATCGCGATCGACAGGTTGGCCACCCCTGCTATACAGTATATAAAAACTGTAAATATACTGATGGTAGTATTTTAAGCTCTCTTTATATACAGTGCTTATAATTTTAAGGTATTGATGAGAAAGCGTTGTCTTTGTCTTTAGGATTTACCAGCAACTCTTTAAACTGAATATTACAGGTATGTGTCTAAAGTCACTTCTCCTAGTTCCACAATTCCCATTACTGTACATTCGGCTGTTGCCAACCACAAAATAATTCTAGAACATAACTGTGCCTAGTGAGGGATTATTCTATTGACATGAAGCTTCGTTAATGGATTTATAAGACTGTACAATATATGAATGACTGTACACTTTTGGTTTATGCATTGTATTAATTACTTTAAATTTGTTTATAAAATGATGGCTATGGAATCATATGGTGTTCAGTGGTATAAAGCATTTAGGATAAAGTTATTACCAAAATATTCATGATCCAAATTTGGCATAATGAAGGTACACAATGATTTCGACACAAAGCCTTGGAGTCTACATCACCTTCATTAAATTATAGTTATTGCAAGTCTACAATAAATTACATGTTGTGCAAGGAAATTATCTGTAAAGAATTTTGGAAATTTGGACATTGGATTTACCAAAGGAATTATACATACTTGAAGACTACAGGTTATTCATTCAAAGAGCAAGAACTAATTTCACTTCTTTAACCAACTGGGACAGTGTACCTACTGTCACAGCTGTGCAATAGTGATGGTCACTTGCAAACCTCGTCTGTATTGTGGTCTATTTTATATCGTAGCAGAATTATAATTGGTGCCCTGTTTTGAGGTAGAAGGCTAAAAGCAGATCTGGAGAGACTGGTAATGAAGGTGACCGTGGCTTGTGTAGTATAAATCATTAAACAAATGACACAATCTACAGTTACTCTGAGTGATGAAATAAATCCAGATATGTTGAGAGAATAACTAAGGTTGAATTATCAATTTCTCAATGGCAGATAAATGTTGCTCCTGGAACAATTTGAACTGCATAAAACATTAGTTGAATTGTTCAACTTGAAAGATCAATACATTTAAAAATATAATCATACTTAAATGATTCATTTTATACAGGTATTAAAAATATTTTCAACTTCTCATTATAAATTTTTGATGAAGCAATCAATCTCTTTTATAACGAGTTCATTTATCCATCATCAGTTCAGGTGACATGTCGGATGCGTGACCAAAGATTTTTTTTTAACCAAAAAACAAATTTTCTCAACCATGCAATAAGGAAGGGGTTAAGAGCATCCTGTAAGCCTTTGTGGTCCTGAGTACTTTTTAAGGAATTAAAATAGTAAGCCACTGGTATTAGGTTTCTACAGATACCATCACTTTGTCTACCTCACTAGCATATGTACAGTAACTGTACTTATGTTCTGAAGTGTATGGATTGAACTTTATATAATGTGCTCAGAAAATCAGGGTACAGTATTGAATTTTATTATTGTATTTTATTAATTTTTTGAATCCAAGTCACTCAAGCTATGACTAGCAGTGATGGAAGTAAAAAAATATTCTAGTGACTAACATACAAATATAGTAAAATGGTAATATTCCTGTCCAAAGAATTTTGTTCTCATATTTCAGATTTATTCTTTTTACTGTTAGATGTAATGTTTTTTTTTTTTTTTAAGTATATATGGGCATTCCTTCTTCATGTTTTTACAGTGTATAGGTATGATCTGTGAAGGTTAACCTGTAATATAAAATGTGTTTCAGAAAATCAGATGTTATCTTATCCTTGTATGCATTATGTACTGTATTTATCTTTTAAATTTTGAATACTATACTGGAAGCTTAGTACAATAATGATTATAATGGGATGAGTGAGAGGATGCAAGGAGCATTGACTGGTCTAACCTGCTGAACTGCAAAGGACTGGATTCTTCCTGAATTACCATGAAGGTTAAAGTCAAATATTTAATGGAAAAATAAATACCATACCCAAGACTGTTCATTACAAGAACAATTGGAAAACTGTTATATATGAACCAAAAAGAAACAGGACAAGGTGATGTATGCTGGGCTCAGAAATCAAACTTACCTAAGCCCCAAGAGTAGAAGGACAAGGAGAATTCCAGCAGCACAGCACAAATGAGATCCCCAATGATTTTATAATTTCCCTTGAAGATGGTAGATAAGGCAGCTTAGACCAGGACAAAGTGGAGACATTAAATTACCGGTAAGTAATTATTTTCTTCATTGTTCACAATAGAAGATGCAAATAATTTATTTGCTTCTGAGGAAATGCAGTTTGAGTCAGCAATAAGGTACAGTACAGTACAGTACAGTACAGTACAGTACAGTTAAAGCTGACAGAAGGGAGTACAGTACAGTATTATAACTAAATTATCTAAACTCAAGGTTTATAAAAGCCTTGGTCTGATAGTGTGCATCTCGGTGTTAAGAGACTTGTGCAATGACTTTACTGGGGACCTTAAAATCCTCTTCTGTAGATGCATGGTGGAACAAAAGGTCCCCAATGACTGAAAAATGGCATAAGTCTTATACAGTATTTAAATAAGATTACCACAACTGCATTAACAACTTCAGGACGGTGTGTTCAAGATGAAACCTCTACAACTGAGCAACCTAGTTTGTGAATGCCATTGTAGTGGACGTCTCCCCTACAACTGCGTAGCCGTATTCCAATGCCACAGTATCCTAGCAACCAGCCACCTGCTACGTCTTCCCTAGCAACCAAATGAGCGGCCCGGGGGGGGGGGCGTCACCAGATGCCACAGTATCCTAGCAACCAGCCACGTCTTCCCTAGCAACGGAGTCAAGAAACCGGCGACTTCCCACGGTTTACATGTACTTCCGGCGGCTGTGTACATAAGCTCTGTCTCTCCATTGAGATTCATTCTACCCTACTCTACGTTCCTGAACACGCAACACCTCCTCCAAGCAAGCTCCTCGCTGTCCAGCTTTCATTCAACCAGGAGGCCAGCAACAGGCAACATCTTCTCTAACGAAGCTCCTGCACATCTACCTCCTTCAACACGCTACTCGCCAAACGTGTCTACTGAGCAGCTCCTCACCACACGGCATCTCCAGCACCAGACTGTCTACCATATAACTTATATTATATAAGAAAACCACCACCTTAGAGTTTCCATCCATCCTGAGTGCTAGACAACATAATATCACGAAACCCTACACCATCATGGTTTTATGCATTTACTGAAGGTGCTGGATGTGTGGACACAGCAGGTCTTGGAGCTTGGTGGCAACATTAACAATACTGTACTGTATTGTACTGTATATACCAATATTTGTCATTCTTCCATACAAATGTTTGCAGATGACGCGAAGTTAATCAGGGATATTAAAAACCTAATCAACTGAAGCATTACTAGATGATCTCTATCAGTTTCAAGTGTGGTAAAAGTAATGTGATGTATTGATAATACATGCAGCAAAGGTACTGCTTAATATATTAAAAACTGTGTAATCGTATCTGACAATGGTAAGAAAAAATAACATGAACTGTCCAGTGCTTGTCCAGTTGTATCTTGAAAGCATTGAGACCTGACCACGTGTTCAGGGGAATGGTTTTAAAAATCCACATCCCAAAATAGGAAGTTCATGTCTCAATTTGGTTTGTGCATGTGTTTTGAACAGTTTGATCGAGTGTTCTTTGGTATTACTGTTATGGAATCCCAGTAATGGACATGCTCCTTAATAATAGAATTATTAAATAATCTTAAATGTCCTGATCATACCTTTGCCTATTCTGTATTATGTTATTGATGGAACCTCCAACTTTGCCAGGTGTTTTAATTCCAGTTCTCCACCAGGATACTAGTTTCGTTGCTAGCCTCTGAACACTTGTTTGTGAGGATGTCTTTCATCTTGAGGGGCTTCCATGCTGCATTAACTGGAGAGATGGATGCACCTGGCCTTTGTACAGCTATATGAAGTTTTCGGAATCTAGGTAAGAGAATGAACTTTAGATTAGACCCATCATCTGGTTAATTCTATAAACTAGCATTAATTGGTCTTCATATCTTAGTTTACTGTCAGTCATCACTGCCGAGTATTTATATATCCCTGTCTTAACTCATTTTGCTAATTTTTCATCCTTCATATTAAATTTTATGATGTATGTGGTTGCTTATGAACTCCAGCTTTCTCGTACTTCTTATCGTTTTTTATCATTATTCCAGTTTATTTCTGTCATACTTAACCAATTGTCAGTGGTAAGAAACTAGTGAAGCTTTTGTTGCCTACACTGTTAAAAATAGGCTGAATACCTTGTCTGTCACCGCTCCCTGTGATGGGCGGGACACGTATAGATACCATATAATTTTTAATTTATCATTTCCGTTATTTATCAGCTAATTAGCCTTTCGGGCGGCTATTTTGTTCTTTGTTACGAACTTCATAATCTCCACCGACTGTAATAAAGTCCACCCAAAGCTTAATTAAGTACAAGTGCAATGATTGTGTTCTAAGTAAACTAGACATTGTATAATGATGGTTTGTTTATTCGATGCCATTGTGTGTATCTTTGACAATAAGCTGAACAAAGCCATCCTTTCAAACCGGCTCCTTAGCTTTATCTCTGTTTTTCTCACTTAGTTGTCTCACACACACACACACACACACACACAATCAGCAATCGAACTATGAAAGGTTATTAATTTAACTCATAATGCATAAAAGACATTGTTAAAGCTCTTGTGAAATAAGGAATGAATGCACCAACAACTAAAAACTAGCATTAAAATTTGCTGAAGGTGCTTGGCCGTCTTTGTAAGGATGACGTTAAGCCAAGTACATTAACTCCAAATTTAAAAGGGGACAACTTTTCTAAGTGCTCATCAATTTTTATATACTTCTGCGCACGGAAACCAAAAATATATTTTTCACAACAATAATGTTGACATTTGCCTCAGTCACCCTGAAATCAGTTCTGAACTTCCATTTCCAAGGAGTAATGTGAAGTATTGTATAACATTTGTCGGTGCATGGAAATTAATGCTACGACCCGAAAACCAATTGAGTCGACTAATATACAGCAACCATGGCATCTTTTCTTCTTTTATCCTCTTCATCACTGATCGGCTCGTTAGCCGCTTGGGCGATCAGTCACGTCTCTGTTATGCACTGTTGGCAAGTACTGAGCAGCATTTAGAGTATATATCCTGAAGAGTAGGGTTGTGATGTAAAAATGTATGTGTCACCTCAGTGAACCAACAATGTTGCACTTACATCATATTAACATATTTTGAGGGGCAACAGCGGAAGTAAGCACAAAGGTCGTGTTATGATGGGTAGGTGGGATGGTGGGAGTACACCCAGCCCAACCAGGATACATACAGTGTTGCCGGGTGCCAGTGTCGCGATTAGCTAGCAGAAGGGAGAGATGTGTCATATACCCCTCTTTCCCCACCAAGCTGGGTTTCCTCTACCCCAACTCATTGCCTGAGTCAACAAAACACAGGCTGAGTGTCACCAGGATGTGATGTCAGGATTGTGTCGTGTTCAGGTCCTCTTCTTAACACTAACATTCTGAATGAAGACGAGTTGGCGAAATCAGAAAGACCAGCGTCCGGCTTAACATTAGAAACACAGTAGATGACATTGTACTGTATATATTTTACTTTATTTATAGATATATAATATCATTCAAGCAGTTTTATACAGTTATTCACTGATTAGGGCTTTATACTATACTTCAAACTGTTCCCAGACTAGGTAACATTGCATTATACTGCACTACACAGTCGGTAAGCATACGGTAGTTAGTAATTGACCAATGAAAAAATCGTGCGCCACTTGCGATGACCAGATTGTAATGTGGCAAGTGGCGAAAAAGATAATGAACCAGAACGGAATCCGTATTAGGCTCGGTTTGGTTGGGAATGTAAAGAATTGTGCAGTTAGTCTCAAAACATTAATTTTTCAATCTTTTTAAGTTAAGGAAATTCATAATACAGTAATATCAATCAAGCTCAAATTGATGCTGATAATAATCACACATCATACATTATTTACCTTAGTATGTATCTATAAAAGAAAATAGACATATTTTCCCTCCAGTTTTTAGTAAAAAGTGAAAATTTATGCGATTTCCCGATGAACATACTGTAGTGGATCTCTCACGTAACCCTACAATACTCTTCCCTTTTAAACAATACATGAATTAATATATAACAACGATATCAACGAGTAGTGCCCGTATGATAAGGCTCAAGGGGCAAAGTTCTCTGTTTGGCAACTCCAGCGTAGTCAGTGCCAGATTAAATTGCCATGCCAGTGTGTACTGTGCTGTCTGGGGTCGAGGAGTGCCGCGCTCCACTACATAGGTTAGTCTACGCAGTTGTGGTGGTAAATTATAAACCATTTATCTTGATTACTCATTCACTCAGTGACTGGTTATCTTTGAAAAGCTAAGTTCTTCGTAATTAGTATTATTTTATTAATGAGATTTACGTGAAAAGTCGGTTGTGTAAGTGAAGGATGAACTCCCTGACATTAATCCTTGTATTATGTGGTGTAGTGTACAGCTGTGACTCCCAAGACAGGCCTCATAGGTTCCGAGACTCATTATAATAAGTGACTACACATCTCATCTGGCATCTCGTATTTAACGTCTAATATTCAACATCTGGCAAAACTGGAAATTATAGACGTTATTATTCTCTTGACTACGAAAGAACTTTTGATGAACTGCTAGTAAGATTTCCCAGGTTATCTTCTGGGGATGAGTACTGAATAATGTCTTCCATGAACCAAAATCTACAATAATAAATATTTTCATTTGATGATCTCCATTTTATTTCATTAATACTGCATTATATAAGAAAATATCTAGCGTATATTACATTAGTAAACTACCACGGACGTGACGACAAGTTCCCAAATATAGCCACGATTGGACAGATAAGGCAATTATTTTTCAGTGTTAAGTATTTCTTCAGCTGTTTATATGGAGTTACTTCACTTAGGCCGACATGCGTATTACTACTGTACTCCTCATTCATTTATAATCATCTACGCTTTCTTCCTTTTCCTCGCCCAACGAAGATGCCTCTCTTGGCAAATAACGAAAATTTCTCATACGAGCACTTTCGTTGCCAATACATCGTCATCAGATAAACATGTAATTTGTAATAGATTTTATAGAAATTGTGAATCATGCAAAATATTAACTTTACAGAGACACGGAACAGCAACATCATCACCCGAGGGTCAAGGTGTGTTAAATCATCTTGTATCAGCTGAGTGATCTCATCATCTGGTGTTAGCCATGGATCTCACTGGTAAAGAAATAGCAATGCTGGTGCTGCGGCTGTTGTTTGGGCTGTTATACTCGGTGTACTGCATGGTAGAGACGTTGGTGCTCACGCTCATACCCCGCAGTTACCGCAGGAAGGACATCAAGGGTAATGTGATCCTGGTGACGGGCGGCGGTTCAGGCATTGGCCGCCTCATGTGCATTAAACTGGCAGCCAGGGGAGCCATCGTCGTCACCTGGGACGTTAGTGAGGAAGGTAAGTAGATACTCTCATACTAACTGTAGTTATATTCTGCAATTACAAAAAAAGACTCACGTCACACGACACTACTCATCAGACAGCAGTACATCAGACGCACTCCAGCAGAGTACTGTATTGTACAGTACAGCTATGCTTCCATATAGGACAGTACTGTATACATAAAACCAAACATTAAAAGGGACAACATAACACACGTAATATGATGAATGGCTGATCTCATCATATAGTAAACTCCTTTAAGAAAACATAATTACTTAAAATTCTTCTGTGGAAGGTAAATACTTTTTAATAAAGCGCCTATTCAATTGTATTATACCTGGTTAATGTTTGTATTGTAAATGGAAATAAGATATAGTACAAATATTCTCATATTTTAACAATGGATTTTTGTAATTAATCAATTGCGGTGTTAAAAGCAAAGAAATTTAAATTATTTTAAACAGTTTAATTCGAAGTAGAGATAAATTGTCCGTGTTTGAATTTACTTGTATTTTGTAAACTTTTTATAAGACGGTAAATGCTTGAAAAACTCGTATACAGTCCAGTACAGTCTGCACCCCCACAACAGCAACAACCATGAGGGGTATGGTATGTGATTACTTCAGGGGGGCGACGGTCCGACGGATATAGATGGTACAGGCCTGACCAATGCAGTGTTTAGGACGATGCAAGTTGCCGTAAAGCATGAAGGCTGTTGCTGGCATTGCCCTGACTGCATAGTCAAGGTGAAAGAGGCGATTGTAAGCCATAGAGGAACGAGTTCCCTAAGGACGAAAATAGATGAAGCTGGAGCCTTGCTGGTTGCCAAACTAGAACAAGTTGGGAAAGAGATCCTTGCTAAGATTGAGGAAGTAGCCGATAGAATGGAGGTGGTTGCTAAGAAGAGTTATGCTGAGGCATTAGTAGGGCCACGGGAGGTGGCGGAGAGTAATGCAGGATCAGAACAGGTTCTACAGCAGCTAGGGACTCTGAAGAAGAGGGAGGAGTCAAGGAGGAACGGAGGCGAGTGTACTTGGGTTATATTCAGGGGGAGGGTAGTGGAAGCAAGTGTGCCGACACAGGGCCAGGAGGCAGCAGCGCACCCTCCACCCACCCGAGAGGTGGCACCAGCTCCGCCTACCAGCCGGGAGGAGTCGAGCGCCGTGTAAACAATGACATTTCTAACCACACCCTGCAAAATACAGTGTACTTAGCAAATGCTGCAGCTTCTGAGAATGGAGGGGGGCCGGAGTTACTAATAAGAGCCCGCTGTTGTTTGTTTGTTTCATAAATGACATGCCCGACGTTGTACACTCCTCCATGCAAATGTATGCCGATGACGCAAAGTTATTTCGGGAAATCAAGAACCATGCGGCCTGTGAAGAGCTGCAGAAGGATCTCTGTGAGCTCCAAGAATGGTCGATGAAATGGCTGCTGAGATTCAATGTCACGAAGTGTAAGGTGATGTACCTGGGGCGTACCAACGGTAAGGAGGCGTATAGTATGTCCCAACTGGATGAAGAAACTGCACTTTTTGAGACTGAATGTGAGAAGGACCTAGGTGTGTATGATGACAATGAGCTGAAGTTCTCGGGCCATTGCGAGAAGAAGGTAAATCAGGCAAATAAATTATTGGGTCTCATAAGAAGGTCGTTCAGATATCTAGACCGTCCCTCGTAACGATCTTCAAGAGTGAAGTGCTTCCCCATCTGGAGTACTGTCATCCTGTCTGGTCCCCGAGATATGCTAGGGACTGTCAGTTGGTTGAAAATGTTCAAAGGAGGGCCACCAGACTGGTGCCTGCACTTCGGCACCTCAACCACCCTGAGAGATTGGAGCGCCTGAACTTGCCTAGCTTATACTACAGACGGGCAAGGGGCGACCTAATTGAGGTGTATAAGCATCTCAAGGGGCACTACTCAGTCGAGTGTCCTTACTTGGAGCTGGCGGACGCTCGCCCCACAAGGGGTCACAGCACAAGATTGAAGAAGCCGCAAGTCCAGAAAACTGTGAGGGCAAACTTTTTCGGAGTGAGAGTTGTGAACTCTTGGAACAATCTACCAGAAAGTGTTGTGACGGCACCGAGTGTGAGCTCTTTCAAGACCAGACTTGACCAACACTGGAGCGGGTTCAGGTACATTCAGGAGCCGGTGCATGCCCAGTACTTGCCAACAGTGCGTAACAGAGATGTGACCGATCGCCCAAGTGGCTAACGTGCCGATCAGTGGTGAAGAGGATAAAAGTAATTAAAAGTACAGTATAGAGCAGACTAACCCAACTGAACGCCGCTGAGTACAGAATGTAAACGATACCAACAACCCAGAGAAAAAATACATTTCAGGCGTGTTTAAGTGTTTGTGTGTTTTTCTGAGAATCAACATTTACTGTACATATATCATTACATTTGGTTGATTTTATTGCTATAGGAAACTCAGGGCGCGTAACTTAAAGAACCCACAGCGTGTAAACGTAGGTTAATTACGTATATGAAATTTGGATTGGTTAAATTTTCAGTAAAACTCATCTTGATTCGTTAATGTAATGTATTTACAGGTTTGACGTAGCTTAAATAGTTAACAATTTATTTTGAACAGGGTAGTATCATTTAGGTGTAATTTATTTGAGTTTAATCCTCAGACAGAGAAGGTGGTAGTGGCTTGCTTCATCCTCGCAGCGTTTCTGATGAGTTTGTCCAGGGATTCTATACTTCTTCATTGCTTAATCATTATGGTCTCCGTCAATAAAGTACCTTAATTATCAGTACAGTGGTTAAAGGTGTGCTCATGATACACCATGACAGGCAGCTTATGGTATATCCTTCCCAACAGGCAACTTGGAGACGGTGCGGCAAGTGGTGGCGGCGGGAGGGCAGTGCCGCGCCTACACCGTCGATCTGTGTAATAGACACGCCATCTATGCTGCCGCCACTAAGCTCAAGCAGGAAGTGGGCAAAGTTAGTGTACCTCACCTTAACTACGGTCTAGTATGTTGTGTTAATTGTTGCCATGACACAAAATAATACTTTGTGACAGGTGAGGTGGATGTATTAGTAGTTAAATAAAACGTGCACCATTGACTGTCACCAGGTGGACATCTTGGTGAACAACGCTGGTATCGTCACCGGCAAGAAGCTCCTCGACTCTCCTGACGAGAGTATTATCAGGACTTTCGAGGTCAACGCATTAAGTCATTTCTGGGTAAGTAGCTTAAGGTGTGGACTGCCACCCTCCACTGAGAGGTACTGACGTCACTTGGTAATGTATTTTCATTTCCCCTCCAGCAGTTTATTTAACATAAAGAATAACAACAATAATACTAACTTAAAGTAACCTAGTCTAAACCACTTAGGTAGTGTTAGGGTGATAAGTTCTTCAGGTGAAATACACTAGAGGGGTGAATCTTGTGGTGATATAAACCTACATCTTGTCATGGTGATGTCTTCGTGAATTTCCGGCGTCATTGGTACATATTATTATGTGTTACTGCTTTGACAACTAAAGCCTCTATTTAAGTACGTAATTTAGGTTAGAAATTCAGTAGTCCCTTGAGAGTGAAAAGTAAGAGAAGTATCAGTATAAGTAAGCCAGCCAGATGCTTTCTTATGACACCAAGGATTAGGTACTGTCGTGTTTGTGTTTACAGTATGGTACGGAGGCTGAGATAAGATACCATTTGATATTGCTGGTAACTCAATTTAGGTTCAGCCCCCAACACCTGATTTCTTAAATAGCTACTGGCATTTTATGACCTGGTGGTGTTGTGCTGTGACCTGGGAGTGTGGAGCCGTGACTCGTGGATGTGGAATGTATTGACGTACAAGGTCTCCGTGTGTATGGAGATCATTAATCTCGGTCACGGGAGGTGTTCCTTAAGGAGGTGTCATGACCAGAGAGGTGAAGTGTTCTGACTAGGGGAAAATTCCCAATCTTGTCGTGCTCTTATCAGGAGTGACGAGATGGAGGAGGAGAAGGGGGGGGGGGGCTGTGATGAGGGGTGATCACCAGGTTTGTGGGACTGTCATCATTATTAGAATTGCTTCACACTGGAGATTCAGCTGCACAAATATGGCTAATAGTATTACACACTGGACAGTTAGGATTTAGGTCGTGTGCAGGTGTAGAGGATGTTTTGGTTGTGTTGGTAATAGTGAGCCGGCTCCCCCCCTCCAGCCTCAGCACTGGTCTAGCTTCATTAGATAAGCCCTTGGTAGTAAACCCTTAATACTAAGGTCAAGAGGACGTGGACGTTTATCTTATCTGAAAGTAAACGCTACATTACTAATTGTTCAAACCTGTATTGCCAGTGTACAATTCTCGTATGCTAAAATGAACTTATTAGTGGAAGTGAATCAATATACTTACAGAGAATGTTTGATGACCAGTCAAATTAACTGTCAAAATGTTTCCTCCAGTACACTATGAGATGATCCAAATACAGTATATTATAATGGAACCATGTGAAGTGATTTCCTGACTCAGGCAGTAAAGCTCACTACTACCACTCTCAACGTGAGATACTGTATGCCACAACTGACTATGAGGGGACATCGTTGACATAGTCCGTTTAACTAATTATGTAATGCATTTTTATTCTTCCTTCACATAGATTTATACAGAAGGTTACCATCTGAAAAAGACATTAAACAATGCTACTGTATATATATATATATATATATATATATATATATATATATATATATATATATATATATATATATATATATATATATATATATATATATATATATATATATATATATTTTTACACCTGTGTTGGTCACCGGCAGACAACAAAGGCATTCCTGAGAGACATGATGGCTCTCAACAAGGGTCATATTGTCACCATCGCCTCCATGGCCGGCAAATTACCCTGCAATGGCCTCGTCGACTACTGCTCCTCCAAGTTTGCCGCCGTAGGCTTTGACGAATCCCTCCGCCTCGAATTCAAGGTAAGTAATACCTAAATTATTCACGGTCTTCCGGAGCAAAAATTTTCGTTTTAGGACCACACACACATACACACACACGAGTAGTTGGAACAGCATAACTTGAGCAGCAGCAGTAACAGCAGCAGCCAGATCATGGCTGGTGTCTACTGATAGTGTCATAGTGGTGGCCATTTCAGCAGCCATTTAAATACGAGAAAAAATTATTTCCACACAATGTATGTGAAAGAGTATGGCACAACAGACGATGGATATTCGGATATGCCTGTTGGTCCTGCTCCATGTTGGCATATCGCAATGTCCAATGTCCTTGATGTCATATTGTACGTAGGTTGGAGCAGACAGAGGCACACAGATAGAGCAAGTAAGAGGCGATGAGACATGTTGAGGTAAAGGAAACATTGATGCTGATAGTCACTCCTAACCCTTGCTACACCTATCAGGCGAGTCTGTCACCACAACTAAGATTTACTGACTTTACTTTGAACTTCTTGGTGCTCAAAATGTCATGGCTTGATTCAGATAATTATGGGCTCACTGTATAATTAATTGTATACGAGGTTCAGTGTGTGTGTTTAATATGATTGATGACGAAATGATCTTGACATTATTACTGTATATTTGGTACAGGCCGAGGGTAAGAATGGCATCAAGACAACTGTGGTGTGTCCCATGTACATCGGGACGGGAATGTTCAAGGGTGTTCAATCCAAGTAAGTTGTTGACCTTATAATGCATTACTCCGCCTCAACAACTAAGATATTTTAACTCTGTTTCCATGATTGATAAATACTCGTTATCAACAAAAGAAAATTTAAGAGACATTTATTGTTGTTAAGTAAATATTAAGCTTCCTTGGAGTTTTCCGTTTTTTGTAATCGTGTATCCTTTCATTAATTTAGTATGTATTTTTAATTTAAAAGTGTAGTTTTGTTGTTGTTTATTCTATTATTACTGGGAGATGGTTTGAGTCGTGTATCCAGTGTTATGTCACTAATGATGGATTTGTGTACACAGGATTTTCCCTGTTCTAAAACCTGAATACGTGGCTGAGGAAGTGGTGGATGCCATTTTGATGAACACCCCAGTCCTCTTAATTCCTGGTCACATGAGGATAGTTCATTTAATAAGAGCGTAAGTATCACGTTGTTACACATGAAGTTTACATTAAATTTTTAGTCATTGAGTCTTCAGTTTTCAATAAGGAAAAATATGCTTATAGTTTGTATCTTAAAAAAAATAAATACTGGTATATAAGCAGATAATAGGAGGACGTAGAATTAAAACACAGGTTATATTGTTTGTGAATTTTCTAGAATTGAGTTTCTAATCTACGAAGCAAAGCTCAAAGACTACTGTGTAGGCATTTTATTTTATCAAAATTATTCTTAAATTTTTACAATGTTTGTTTAGTTAACTGGCCCAAAGTAAGCAGTGCACAGCGGTGTCTGCCCTTGTTTCTTTTGTACATACAAAGAACATTTAAAACTTTTTAAATAATTTTTAACCCGGCAAATGATACACTATTTTTGGTAGAAATCAGCTTCATCTGACCTAACCTAACTTAACATAACGTAACGTCACATGTAGAAGGTGACGCTTCTTTGGTTTGCAGTCTCATAGAAAATTGTTAATGTTGTATGTCATCTCTTACCGATGAAGAAAGACGATTAAACTTATGTGGCTGTTGGCCAGATCAGTGCCGCACCACAGCAGAGCCAAGGAGCCTTTCATAAAGAGAAATTAAATTAGTTTTGCTCTTTACAGTGGATTTCCTGAAAAGGCGTCCCATTATCTTGGTGAGATAATGGGTGTCACCTCTATGATGGACAAGTTTGAGGGAAGGAAGAAAGATTAATAGACAAACTACTACAGGTTAGTAAAATTTTGGTTTATATAATTGTGATAAGAGAATTAATATCTGCTTTTTATAAACCTGCAGTGTACAATTTATGGCTGCACCTTCAACACGTGTTCTCGTTTTTTACTATTAAAGAATCTGTGATTACTGCTGTTACATTGTTAACCTTCCTGTCATCCTTGAAATATCTTAAATTTTGCTGATATTTGGTTTGCCTTTCTCTCCCCCTTTTTTATCCCCCAATCAAGGTTCTCCATTTTTCTGTTCATACAAGACGTCTTGTTGACAGTCTTTCCCCGATAAACAAAACTTCGTCCTTTTTAACTTTTACATTACAAGATTTTTTTTTATTAACTTATCATTTTATATTATCTCCAACACAGTGAGCATTCATCAAGACCCACTAAACTTTGTCATGGGTATTTCAGATGATGCCCATGAAGAGCTCCTCCAAGTGAAGAAACAGGAGTTTGACAGAAGTAAAGGTGAGGGGGGGGAGGCATGGTTGAGAGTTCAGACGCATAATATGGTAGAACTAAGAGTGGATGAGACCGAAAATAAAAAGAATGTAACAGAGAGAGAGATTCAAGTAGCCAGCCCCCTAACCTTTGAGAATGATTCAGGGAAGGAAAAACAAAACATAAAAGACATGTTATTATGTAGACCATAAATTACAAAGAACTGCTGCAAGTAAATTAACAAGATACCATTAGCAAGAACTATAGGTCTTTCAGTATTTAAAACAAGATAAATACAGTACCTGTAATGAATATGAATGGCAAGAATCACATAACATCTAATTGACAAGAAGTGCACCTCTAGCAAACACCGTAACCCGAACACCAGTTGACTGCAGTACCTTTTTGTTTTTTGTTTCTCCTATATGTCAAATGTTTCAGGAACATCTATCCTCAGGGGTTTAAGATTTTTTTCCACATACTTAAACACATGTTCAGCGATCACCAAATATTTTTATAAGGTATTGTTAATGAGGGCCATTTCCAAGACTACACTAAAATGCAAGTTACAGAAATCCAAGAGAAAGTACTACTAACAGTATTCATTTGACAGCCAACAAAACTAACCGCAAAATATACAGTTAAAGGATACAGACACCTCATACATACTGTACGTCCCTCATGTGCTCTACATAACCAGGCAGCTGTTGGGGGGATTGAAGAAATAAAAGAAAATCCTTACAATATGAATATTTGTGTAACTGAAAAAAACATAATTGCAGAATAAAATATGTTTACTTCTTCTGTGGTCAATTTCCTATCTAACTTGTTTAGTGAAGAGGTAATGTTACTTGATGCTGTAGCTTGTAATATGACAGGTTAAGGGTGAAACAGTTATTTGTACATTGTATTATTGGTGTGTTGATAATATAAGATAAGAATAATAATTGAAGCTCCATTTCATAATGAAATCCTGAAAAATTCTTGTATCAGTAATAAAGGTCACAGGTATATTAAATTTTCCTAAAAATTGGTAATGGATAAATTTGCTTTATCATAAACATAAGATAATCTGCAAACAAGTAATGGTGTGCCACTAGACACTTCACCTCGCTCTGAAATAAGAGATGAATATTTTCATTTTCATTTCACTTATGGCTCCTGGGTATAACATCACTACTGTAGTAACATTTACTGCGATGGCACTATGTAAATCAATAATTCTGTAAGCCATCATTACTCGCCTCACCTTTGTTTATTATCTCAAAATGTGTCCAGTAATAACCGTTTTTTGTATTCTTCACCAAATAACCCATTAAGTTTGAAAAACTTTTACACTGAGGTTTTATTGATTTGGAATAGCTATTTTGTCAGTACAGTATTTCTAAGATATTAAAGTTGAATGAGCCTCAGACAGCCTTGTATAAGTACAGTACTGTACATTGCATTTAATTCAGGTTATATTGTACACTACTTACAGAACAATTCTACATGAGTTACAACTGATTATCAACATTTAGCCAGTGTTGAAAACGGAGAAATGACCTAACATGTTTCATTAGAAAATTATCGTAGGTCAAAATTTTATTGTGTATACTGTATTTAAATTTTTTTTAAATGCAGTAAACAAGAATTAGCAAATTCTGAAAAATCGTCTTGGTATCACCAATTAATAAAAGACGTTATAGTGTAAGTATGAGATATGTAGCACATAAAACTACAATTTTGGTTAATTACGTAATGTTTGAGCTACATATCAATGCGTTGTTCTATGTAATAAGTTAATCACCTTTTTCTCTTCATCTCTTGTCAACTTCCTTGCAGCTGACGATTTCACCACGATAAAAGACCGTCCTTGACCCCGAAATTGAAATTAAGTCTAAGAAATTGCTTCTCCACATTATCTACTCTAATTATGCATAAAAGTACTGGAAGAAAATATTTGTCAAATATTGCTGTTTATGTAGATTCTGGCAACTTTAAGATTGGCGCACTAAAAATTAGAGGAGCCAAAATTAAAAATAACGAAAGGCATTCACGAGTATTGAACATGGGCCAAATAAAACTATAGAAGTGGCAATTTTAGATTATTTTTTTAGCAAAAATATGCAGGCAAAGTGCAGCCCCTAGTATGGTGTTGACGTTATAATGTGATCTGATTACTAGGTTAAGGCGTTTTAGATGCTATTCCGTGTAGCTAAAACGTCTTCAACAGGTGAGATACGATACTTCCAGTAGTCGAGTTGTTGACATGGCGAGCGGTGAGGCTACGGCATTAAATCCTTTGATAGATGGCATGAACCAAATTAATCTAACGTAAATATCTTAGCATGTTTTTGGATATGTTAAGTTAGTTAACTTGGGTTAGTTTGGTTCCTATTATCATTCACAAAGGCTGAAATGCATTTTATAGTAGTTTTTACAATCGTAAGGGCTGTTACGTGTGACGTTGGGCCGGTGGTACAGTACTTCTTTGGTAACTTAACACATGATTCTAAGTAAGTTCATATTTTTTCTGTAAAACTTCCTCCATCTTTTTTTTGCAATAGTAATTGCATATACAATATGATAGTAAAAGTTTCCTAATAAGACCCCGTCTACTTTGACTTGGACTATTGTACCAACCGTAAACTGTGAAGTCCACGACATGTACCCCGTGGGTCAGTCGTCCTGCCTTTAATCAGTACTGTAGTGGCTGCCACTGACGGTTCACACGGCACATAAACTCACTGCCCGACGTTTTAACCAGTTACCTCCCAGGATTGTCCACATTTTCCAGGTGAATTGTAGTTTAAATTGGATCCATTCCTACTGGTTAGGTCGGGTCACTTCACATTGATCCTTCACCCTGAGTCGCGGGATGGTTGTGTTTGTCATTGCGCTTCACCGTGGAGATAATTAGAGCCGTGTTATAATGTTCTGTACACAACACTATTTAATATTTCTAAATATATGTCTCCATGCATACGTCTGCACGTGGCAGATAAAGAAAACATACAGAATATTTATATACTCCTGTACATTATCTATATACGTATACTGTAGATGTGAAGTTGCCCTTTTCAGGAATAACGAAAACATTTTAGATACAATATTAAAATGTGGCACCTTCGCATGTACCATGGGATGAGTGTGGCGGGCACTGGAGGGAAGGGTGGGTGCCCGGGTGGCGAATTTTTTTTTCCTGAAGGCTTCCGTCATTTTGAACAAGCGGCAGGTCGCAGTGCTTGAAGCGCGGCACCACTGTACAGTACTATCAGCTGGTGGCAACAAAAATTCGTTCTATTTTGGCCGTGCTGGCTAGGTTAGGTTATTATTTGTTTGTATTAGTATCTATTACGTTAGGAAATGCAATATTAAGCCAAGCATGAATGATCGTCTCTTATTCTTTCTTACGGAGTGTGCAGTGGTGCCGCGCCTCAAACACTGCGACGGTGCCACTTGTTGAAAATGACGATAGCCCTCAGGAAAAAAAACACGCTGCCGGGTGGGGCTGTGGGTGAGGCACTGGGCGTTGAGACAGTAGTGGAGGCTGCGTCAGTAGCTCCGTGTCAGTGTGCCACGCGATCCCTCCAGGGAAGAACCGCCACAACTCCTCTCCCCTCAGGTTACTACTTTACTACCTTCATGTGGGTGACTCGTAGAGATAGATAGTGATTTATTCATTAATAGTCATTGTTTTAGTACATGCTAAGAAATTACCTCAACCAAGGATAGTTCAAGACAACCGCTAGGCTTATTTCCATTTGGGTCCTTGGGTAAAGCTAGGGTGACTAACTAAAAGCTCTACACAATAAAGGGATAAATTTATGAAAAATTATACAAGCTTTTAACGGTGTTCTTAGGCCAACCTTAGTTGAATCACTTTACTTTTATCCTCTTGTCACTTGGGCGGTCGGCCACATCTCTTACGTCGTTCAGATATCTAGACGGCCCATCCCTCGTAACGATCTTCAAGAGTGAAGTGCTTACCAATCTGGAGTACTGTCACCCCTGTCTGGTCCCCGAGATCTACTAGGGACTGTCAGTTGGTTGAAAATGTTCAAAGGAGGGCCACCAGACTGGTGCCTGCCCTTCGGCACCTCAGCTACCCCCGAGAGATTGGAGCGCCTGAACTTGCATAGTTTATACTACAGACGGGCAAGGGGTGACCTAAGTGAGGTGTATAAGCATCTCAAGGGGCACTACTCAGTCGAGTGTCCTTACTTGGAGCTGGCGGACGCTCGCCCCACAAGGGGTCACAGCTCAAGATTGAAGAAGCCGCCGGTCCAGAAAACTGTGAGGGCAAACTTTTTCGGAGTGAGGGTTGTGAACTCTTGGAACAATCTACCAGAAAGTGTTGTGACGGCACTTAGTGTGAGCTCTTTCAAGACAAGACTTGACCAACACTGGAGCAGGTTTAGGTATATTCAGGAGCCGGTGCATGCCCAGTACTTGCCAAAAGTGCGTAACAAACGTGACCGATCGCCCAAGCGACTAACGAGTCGATCAGTGGTGAAGAGGATATAAGTTAAAGTACTGTTGACAAGCCTTTGGCATGTATGATGTACTGATTCCAGAATGTACCTGAACCTGCCCCAGTGTTGGTCAAGTCTGGTCTTGAAGGAACTCACACTCGGCGCCGTCACAACACTCTCTGGCAGATGGTTCCCAAAGTTTACAATTCTCTCCGAAAAAGTTTGCCTTCACAGTTTTCTATGGTTTTCTGGACTTGTGGCTTCTTCAACTTTGAGCAGTGAGTTGGGCAGGCGTCCGCCAAAAGTGCACCCAGTTTTATAAGTCGTATTTACGAAGGTTTAATGAACATTATTTTTAACAGAATAAAAACAAGAATCGAAAGTAAGATATCTAAAGACCAAAATAGTTTAGAAAGGGAAAAGAGAACTAGCGAAACAAGGTCAAGTAGCCAATAAAATACGTTTGACACATCTGGTAGCATGAGAAAATACAGACAACATACTGTAGATACACATAAAGGCCAAAAATCATACATATACTATGTTGTCTAATGGTAGACCCCGCTGCCATATAGCATCACGAAAATTGCGACCCAAGTCCCAGGTTGCTGATCTTTCTGCTCCATTTACTCAGGATTGCAGGTCTTGTAGGGGTATGCGATATTGGTTCACACTCAGGATGGGATGGAGAAAGGAAACTCACATGTGCTCACTGTATACATATTGTATTGGATGTACAATGCAGCTTGTTGCTGGGTAGGTAGCATGGTAATAAGCGTTGAGTAGAGAGAGCTGGGTGGTGAGGGTGCCCAGAGGAGGGACACGCGGCTTGAGGGACGCCAAGGTCGCTGGCGGGAACGGCAGCCGCCAGGCTGGCCCGGAGGAGGAGGTGTTGCTTGCAGGTGGCACTGTGTAGAAAGAGAGAGGCTGGTCACAGCGGTGTCAGGCTTTATAAGGTAGGGGTAGGCGTGGGTAGATATTTGACCCCCGCACCGTGGGCGGCGCTGGAGGCGTAGGCTGGGGAATTCGAGAAGGTTCGGTGCTTGTAGGGGAGGAATCCACCACAGTCTCAATTGTTCCTCTTACTTAGACAACACAACATACATATATCACTTCTTACTCTTGATATTTTTTTTCCATTTGTGTAGTGTGTTTCTTTATGGTTCTATATTATTATTAATACATTATTATTATTATTTTAATATTTTAAATTTTGTTATTATTATTATTATTATTATTATTATTATTATTATTATTATTATTCCATTTTCGTTCCCGAATCCCCGACGTGGGTCAGTGTGAACCTGTGGCCGGGTGGGCTAATCCTCGTAAAAAAAAGGGAACACTTTGGTGTGCCTTGCTACCGGACGTGTCGAGAGTATTTTGCCGGCGGCCGTACATTTGGTTTGAAAATTTTGAGTGAACTCTGTTAGTTTTGTGGACATTGAAAAAGCGTTTGACAGGGTTAAACACAATACGTTTACAGACATCCTCTTCGCCACTGATCGTCCTGTTCGCCAAGCGCTTTGGTGGTCGGTCAATGTCTATGCACTGTTGGCAAGTACAGGGCATGCACTGTCTCTAAAAAGTACGTAATCTGAACCTGCGTCGTAACTTGGTCTTAAATGAGCTCACACTTGGTGCCGTCACAACACTCTGGCAGATTATTCCAAAAGCTTACAACTCTCACCCTAAAAAACGTTTTGGTGATAAGTTTCTTTACTCTTGGTTTCTTTAACCAGAGCCTGATCTTTAGTGGGGGGATATGAGTTGATTTTGGGTTCGGCCGAGTGTGTTGCCTTCAGCATTGAATAATATCGCTTTGGAATTTTTGTTAAGAAGTTTTTAGAAGCGATGTAGAAATGAAAGTTAATAATGCGATAATAGCAAGTATTCGGTATATAGATAATGCTGCTCGTATTACAGATAGTGAAAAGGCATTACAAACTCTTGTAAACAGATAAGAGGAAAAGGGGCTGTAATTTGAGCTTAGAGTTAATGATTGTTTATAAATAAAGAATAAATCCTAAAAAAAATGTGGTAGGGAACAGAGAACTTCAATAGGTAGAAAATGTTATGTTTTGGAAAGCACCATTAATTATCACAGCTATTTGAAAAACGTTAAAGTAGGCAAAGTAAGAAAATAATTTCCTCTTCTGGAAATCCTGGGGGGGGTGTCCGGATGGTGTATGATAAAGTAATATCTAATTTTAGGACTTGTGCGATGGAAAATAATATTTAGTGCTGGACACAGGTTACGGGGCGTAACCTGTACAGTAAAGTATTCAAGCGTTCCCCACCCACCTTGCCAAACGATCATTGTTAAAGCTTAAATATAGAAGGGAATATTTATAAATACTTAACAGGTGGGTGGTGACTGTTTGCGTGTGATCAAAATGCAGATAACTGGAAGAATATTGGTTAGAATGATAGTTTTACCCCACAAATTTATGCATCGGCTTAGATGACATGTATAGCAATCTCGTTCAAGATTTTTATAACTGCTGGAGACAACTGGTAACTCAGGCTGTTTGTTTACTATGGAACGTAGTTTAATATGATACGAAACAACAAAGCCCAACCATTAATTAAGCAACGGGGAACTAAGTAACCAATCACCGATAACCTTTTACTTTCATTCATAATTTTTACTACGTACTATAGTACACAATAATGATACTAGTGTCATTCCCTTAGATGTGCTAGATCGTATGTGTTACACCCCCCTTTACCCATGGTGTCGACACAATACTCCCTCATATCGATCCTGACGCCTTTCTACAAAACTCGCTGGGTTACACCAACCCAAACTGTAACTATTACTTTCCTGACTCCCCCCGAGTTTAGTTCTAGTCTCCTACTACCTCATTCCTTCTCCTTGATTAGCCATAACATCAGCAGTATTCCCCTTCATCTAGATACCTTTTTAGATCAGTGTTTATCTTCTATTGCCCACAAATTTGATGTACTTTAATTCTGTGAGATCAAACTCACTAACGATATTGACCATTTGTATAACATTCCTAATTATAATAGACACTGCGTCAACACGTCACGACACAGCGGTGGTGTCTCCCTATATGTTGATATCAAGTATAAAACTTCTGTAAGAGATGATTTAAAGGTTCAGGAGGAGTACATGGAGAGTGTTTTCATTGAATTACGTAACGACACACGAAATATCCTAGTAGGGACAATCTACAGAAGACCCCACACTAATGTAAGGAATTTCTTGACAAATTTTCGGAGCTTATCTCTATCATAAGTTCAGAGAGGAAAGACTGCTACATCACAGGAGATTTCAACCTTGATCTATTAAAATCAGAAACCGACACCTCAGTATTAGACCTTCTTGCTACCTGTCATTTTAAACTCTTCTTCAACACTATAACCAAACCCACTAGAGTAACTGCCACCTCTGCCACTGTGATAGACCATATCTGGACTAGCAACACTCCTAACAACCAAGCAAGTGGAATTATTTATAACAATATCTCATTCACAGTAAAGTCAATAAACAGTGGGGTATCATGTATCACACTCGGCAGTCACTCACTCTCACAGAAATGAAAGAAATCTATCATGATCTTGTTTACCAACACCTGATACACTGTCACACACTATGGGGGGCCTCTGGCTCTTCAAAATCACAATCTCTGGTTACTGCACAAAAGAGAGTTGTACGGACAATGACCTACTTGAAAAAAACAATCACAAAACGAAAAATTTGTTATATTGAAATTTTTAAAATTCGAAGATATTAACACTTACTGCTGTGCCCTCTTTGCTTACAAATCTATCAATCACTTGCTTGACAATAATTACTTCCAGTTCCGGATTAATCAGAGATACAACTTAAGGCACCCAGAGCTACTAAGACCACCCCCCTTGCGCTCCTCTCAGTCCCAGACCTCCATAAAATATCATGGTGTGAAGGTATGGAATAACTTACCCCCACCCATCCGAGCAAAGACTACGCTCCCTCCCTTTAAATCATCTCTAAAAAAATATCTTGTCGAAGTATTAATATTTCTTGAAACACTTGCTATATATACAGTACCTGCTTTTATTGTACCACCAAATCCGTTTTATCGGAAATTATCATGTAAATAAATAAGTGATTACCATTGCAATACACATAATTGCCAACTAGACATAATCCTGAAAGCTCTGTCTTGTTCAACCTTATTACTGCACAACCCAGGTTGTACTGCTCCCCCATTATACTTATGTTTTTAAATTCCACTCTAATTTATATGTATATATATATATATATATATATATATATATATGTATATGTATATATGTATATATATATATATATATATATATATATTATATATATATATATATATATATATATATATATATATATATATATGTGTGTATATATGTATATATGTGTATATATGTATAGGTATGTGTATATGTATGTATAAATAAAAAATAAAAATAATAAATAATAAAATAAATAAATATTGAAGTGATAACCGTGATAACATTATGAGATGTACTTATTACTGTCATGCTATTGTACTATTCCAGATGATACTAAATGTTACATAATACTTCCTTGAGATAAATGTATAGTATATATCAGGTGCCTCAAAGAGGGCTCAGGTTCTCAACTGGCTCAGCCATGTTAATATTGTTATTATTATCCACTCTGTATCTGTATTTTTCTGGCTAAATAAACTGTTAACAACAAACAAACGGCCCTGAATTGCCAGCTGTCTCCAGCAGTGTTCGAAGAATCTTGAACGAGATTTTTAAGGTAGCTACAACGATTATCCGCTAGAGTAAGTTTTAGAAAAGAAGTCCAGTACAAGTATTTATGTTTATCTTACGAGTACAAGAGTACAACAATATTATTATGTAAGAAGAAAAAATATTTGGTTCATTTTCTTAACAGCCGATTGACTGGTTATTGTGTACCCCATGTCCAGGAGTGAGCTTACTTTCACGATATGTATTAAACATTAATGTTACGGTTGAATTAGCGTAGTGATATTTTTAGTCTTTATATATACACGTATGTGTTTTGTACTTTTTGTAGAGGGAACATCAATGTTTCGATTGTTTCCATTTAGTTCGACTTTACACGTGTTGTAATCTCAGTAGGTGTTTCCAGGTCCGGTACATTTCATAATTGATAAGTTGGTAAGTTAAAACTGAGGTTTAGCTGAAGAATCACATGAAATATCGACTTTACAGAGACCCGGAACATCAACCCGAGGGTCAAGGTGTGTTAAATCATCTTGTATCAGCTGAGTGATCTCATCATCTGGTGTTAGCCATGGATCTCACTGGTAAAGAAATAGCAATACTGGTGCTGCGGCTGTTGTTTGGGCTGGTATACTCGGTGTACTGCATGGTAGAGACGTTGGTGCTCACGCTGATACCCCGCAGTTACCGCAGGAAGGACATTAGGGGTAATGTGACCCTGGTGACGGGCGGCGGTTCAGGCATTGGCCGCCTCATGTGCATTAAACTGGCAGCCAGGGGAGCCATCGTCGTCACCTGGGACGTTAATGAGGAAGGTAAGAAGACACACTCATGCTTACCTATTAACACTCCCTTGAATGGAGACTAAGTTTACACAACAGTTTCCATCAAACATAACCTTATACTGTATAACTGTTAATACACTAAGTTGATATGTAACCTGACGCTCTCTCGGAGGAACAGTGACCCCAACAAACTCTTCATTGACGAACTCATCTCTTTTGGGAGAGTTAAGCAATGCTGTAAATTATTTAACCCTTTACCTGGCCACCTGATATGTTAAATTTGGGTACCGAACAAAAGTCTGTATTCATCAAGTGTGATCGATTGACGTCTCTCCTATTGAGATAAGTTGTGCAATACAGGTTCCTCGCATACTTTGAGGTTGTTAGTACCTAGGATATCTTTTCTCAATCAGATATGGCTTGGATATGGAAATGTTCTACACAAACACACACACACACACATATTCTTGACTACAGGATATGACAAAAGATAATACACAAGAAATAGTAGGTTGCATGCCACTTGAAGACCCTCGAGTCATGATGAGCCACCACCAGATTAAGTCACTGGGTAAGCTGTGGTGGGCTGGTGACAGCCTGAATGAGGAAGAGGTCAGAGTACAGATATGTGTAGGTGGGTGACGCCGGGGTAGCAACAGCACGTGTGTTATTTATGTACTCGAGCGTGTGCTGGAGATCTCGGTAGTGACAGTAGCATGGTGACTGTTAGGATTGTGTTTTTGTTAAATAGTGAGAGTATGGGTGTTAAAAGAGCGTGTACTGATTAAGTAGTAGTGTGTGTGGTGGATAAGCGTGAATGTGCGGTGGTTAAGAAGTGAGTGTGTGGTGTTTGAGGAGAGGGGTGTACTGTAGTGCAGGGTGGCGGGGCGGTTGGTGGTGTAGAGTGTCACGTGAAGGTCCTCCCCAACAGGCAACTTGGAGACGGTGCGGCAAGTGGTGGCGGCGGGAGGGCAGTGCCGCGCCTACACCGTCGATCTGTGTAATAGACACGCCATCTATGCTGCCGCCACTAAGCTCAAGCAGGAAGTGGGCAAAGTTAGTGTACCTCACCTTAACTACGGTCTAGTATGTTGTGTTAATTGTTGCCATGACACAAAATAATACTTTGTGACAGGTGAGGTGGATGTATTAGTAGTTAAATAAAACGTGCACCATTGACTGTCACCAGGTGGACATCTTGGTGAACAACGCTGGTATCGTCACCGGCAAGAAGCTCCTCGACTCTCCTGACGAGAGTATTATCAAGACCTTTGAAGTTAACATACTCAGTCATTTCTGGGTAGGTACCAATTATTGTGGATAATGAGTTACATCTTATCTTAATCTTCTGTTTGTTTGTTTTTTCACTTGGCCTGCTATCTTACTCCCCCACTACCTCTCGCGTCATCTTCGTACCATCATGCCTGCTATCTAAACTTCAGTTCTTCAATGCTTCCCGTGCTCAGCATACTCAAACAAACTTAATATTTTTGTTCATTTGAAATTGCAGCTCATATAATTTTTATTATGTATTAAGACATTATTCGGTTCTGGTATTTCAACTTATTTACCTATACTGGCCATCCACAAAAAGTGGCCATACCCAGGGAAGGAGGTCAGTGGCCTGTGTAGGAACCCTCCATTGTTCTTGATAATTTTGTCAAGGGCTATTATGAAGCCCAGTACTTGATTCCACGGTTTGGGCTGTTAGACCGTTCCATAAGTCTACCATCCTTTATGTATGGAAGTATTTCCTTATGTTTGCTCTGCATGATAACTTGGCGAGCTTGTAGTTATGTCCCTTCGTAATGGTGGTGCGTGACATCATAAAGAAATAGCCCGGGTTCAAGTTTAAGAATTGTGAATGTTTCAATAAGATCTGCTCTATTGCGTCTTGTCTGAAGGGTTAGTCCTAAGGCCCTCAATCTACTTGGATAATCAAGATGACATAGTTCCGGAATCATCCTATTCGCTCTGTGTGGCATATTTTATGGGGATGTCTGTTCTTATATTTTCTAAAAATATATTTTAATAAAAATGACGCCGCATGGTAAGGTGAGGTTAGGTTAGGTTGAGTAACGTTAGATTATGCTAGGTTAGGGTAAGGTAAGGAAGGTTTGGTTAGGTTAGAAAGTGACAAAACACAGTTAAGAGTAAGGTACAGTATATAAGGGTTCATCCAGCTCAGCACTTGCCTCTCACAACCATACAAACCCAGACTTGAGAATTGTGTGGTCACCGGCAGACAACGAAGGCATTCCTGGCAGACATGATGGCTCGCAACAAGGGTCACATCGTCACTATCGCCTCCATGGCCGGCAAAATCCCGTGTAATCGCCTCGTCGACTACTGCTCCTCCAAGTTTGCTGCCGTGGGCTTTGACGAATCCCTCCGCCTTGAACTCCAGGTAAGTCGTGCCACACTGGTTCAGACTTCTGTGTTGATAAGTATAAGGACTGACGTGTATTGGTGTATACCTGCCACGCCTGCTCTGTTTACCTGCCCATCATGCAGTGGTCGGTGACATAATTAAACAGTAACATTTTCAAGACAGTGTAAAAAGCAAATTTTGACCTATTTTATTACAACTTGTCATATATATCTTGCACATACAGTATAGTGATTATCATAATTTGTCAATATGAATACCTGCTCTGTTATAGATTTGTCGACAATGATGCTCTTTACTGTGTTTTGATAATGTACTATATGTAGGTTGAGGGCAAGACAGGCATCAAGACAACCGTGGTGTGTCCAGTTTTCATCTCGACGGGAATGTTTGAGGGAATGACCAGCAAGTGAGTGTGTCCAGTTTATGTTGCATCTGGTTTACTCGCCTCCCTCACACATACATACACTTAATTCACATGATTAGGTTCCTCAATTAGGATTTAAATCTTATACAAATAATTATTTCCATAATACATTATTTTATATTTATATAATAGGACATGTAAATAATACTTGGCGTGTGTGTGTGTGTGTGTGTGCAGGATCTTCCCAGTCCTGAAGCCTGAATATGTGGCAGATGAGACTGTAGACGGCATACTGCTCAACACACCCATCGTCTACTTACCACTTTCCGCCAAGATCAACGTTTTCCTCGGTCTGTGAGTACCACCCTCCTCCTTTGCTCTTGTTATATCTACTCACATCGTAATATTTTTATGTCACATGTCGTATACCACCGAACATCATGACTTGCTGCACTCCTCTGTGGTGTGTGTTGGATACTCAATCAAGGGGATATTCAAACATTTAAATTCAGAAAGGTTAACCATAAAATATGAATAAGTGAACAGTAATTATACGAGTATAAAGAACTTTTGGAATGTGAGTTTACTAAATATGTGCTGACATTTGTTTTGAACTGTTGCAATTCTTAAGTGGAAAGGAATATGGATTTAGGAGATAAATTCCATTAGATATTGTCATATCTGAGAGAAATGTACAGTTGCCGACAAAATTCCCTGGACACTTGGCAATATTTAAGATGTAAGTAGATACAGGTACTTGAGGATCATTAGGATTGAAATTTTAACGAATTTTATCAGATTTGTCTTTATATTAAGAAGTATTTTTTTCTATACTGTGGTTCCGAATTATATGATGAAAGGCAGTGTTACTAAACCAATAATATTATCCATAATTAGATGCCAGATATTGCCAAGTGTTCAGGGAAATTCGTCAGCAACTGCACGATCACCACAAAGGTTATATGCTAGAAATGAGTTGTTGTCTTCAGCAGCATTTATGTAAACTCTCTGTACATGTGTTTTAGCTGTCATTTATGCAGTGATTTATACATTGCATATAATACTAAGAAAACTAAAAAAAAGTTCGTATTTCGTGATGGATTATCTTAATGGCACTTTGCTCGGTGCATGATGTGAATTTAGAAATTTATTTATTTTTCCTAAACCAACAGTTTGTTGCCACAAAAGGTGCTCTACTACCTGAGTGAAGCAGTGGGCCTCACCCACATGATGGACACGTTTGTGGGGAGGAAAAAGACCAAGTAAACCCTACTGTAGGTGGGTCATATTAGTATTCTTTACTTGTAATAGGAGCTGAGGTCCTCTGGCTCCATGTTTGTGTGGCCTTAGCTAGTGGACCGAGTCATTATGCCTGTAGTAGCAACAGTAACCTTACCTCTTCGAAATTATGTTAATCTGTCATGGAATTAGACCAAGCTTTATTCTTCTCTAATGAAACATGAAACTGTTCATTATTTGTGAATTACGAATACAAAGTTATGTGCTTATTGACTTAAATGTATTATTTAAAATAAAGTACAACATTTTCTTTGCATTAGTTGTATTATATGACGTTTTGTACTTACCGTATTTGAGTAAGTCTGTATCAGTACAGGGGGGTATAATATTTGTGGTTGTTTTTCGATTGTGGGGGAATTTCTTTCAACTGGTTTACTGAAGATATTATTTTTAACGCCCCTTTTGCTATAATGATTGCTGATTTTTTACTTATTTGTTGACTGCAATCTTTACTAGTTTTATTTCCGTTTATGAATACTGTACAATGTTTATTGCTGTGCACATTATCTGATGTCGTATTCTCTGGTGATTCCAGTCACGACATACTAAAGAGGTTTTCATCAAGACCAGAAGAAAATCCTTCCTTCACCACCACGAGAGAAACCTTAAAGAAACTCACTTTTTGTTATCCACTAATTTGGAAACTGATAATTCCTACTGAAACCTGCAGTGGATGGCTGCCTGCACATGGATCGACGAGTATTGTTTCCCCATTCCACAAGACAGTGAGAACCACAACAATCAACAAGTCACTAGCAACTATTATTTTCAAGGTTTAAAAGACAGCCAATAAGTAGCCTAATAGGCAGCATACCATTTTTGGTTCTCGCAAGAACTACAAGAGCAAATCATCAAGTACTATTTCCTGATTTTACAAATTAATGTACACAATCCACCAGTAAAATAACAAATAGATAATGCTGCTATTATTATGGGAAATTCTTATACAATTCATAAAAGTTATCTACAAACACAAAATGTTATAAGAAAAGTAGTGTTTATCGAAGAAACACGGCGAAAATGCATGCGATAATTTTTATGAGTTTTTGTTTGGCAGCGTTCTGATGAATTAAATCTTAATGTAATGATGTCTTAGAACAAATTTGTTTGTTCACCTTACCGTAGGCTTGTTCAGTTATTACAATCCATCTTGAATCGTCTAAGAAAAAATTCTGACGGCTCCTCAGATAAATTGTAGAATAATGCTGCGCACACATTGTACAGTGTATACAGGATTTAAACACCAATAAAATCCAGATGTATAACTTTTCAGATGCTCTTCTGTTTTTTATGATCCCTCTAACGCCCGGGCGACCGGTCACGTCTCTGTCACACACTGTTGGCAAGTACTGGGCATGCACCGGCTCCTGAATGTACCTGAACCTGCTCCAGTGTTGGTCAAGTCTTGTCTTGAAAGAGCTCACACTCGGTGCCGTCACAACACTCTCTGGTAGATTGTTCCAAGAGTTCACAACTCTCACTCCGAAAAAGTTTGCCCTCAGTTTTCTGGACCTGTGGCTTCTTCAATCTTGAGCTGTGACCCCTTGTGGGGCGAGCGTCCGCCAGCTCCAAGTAAGGACAATCCAACTGAGTAGTGCCCCTTGAGATGCTTATACACCTCAATTAGGTCGCCCTTGCCCGTCTGTAGTATAAACTAGGCAAGTTCAGGCGCTCCAATCTTTCAGGGTAGTTGAGGTGCCGAAGTCCAGACTCAAGGCACCAGTCTGGGTGGCCTTTCTTTGAACATTTTCAACCAACTGACAGTCCCTAGCATATCTCGGGGACCAGACGAGGGGGTGACAGTACTCCAGATTGGGGAGCACTTCACTCTTGAAGATCGTTACGAGGGACGGAATATCTGAACGACCTTATACTGTAGTGGATTTCTCCCCTACAAACGCTGTTGTCGCTGAGTAGCCGACCCCGCGAATTCCCCAGTGTATGCCTGGTTGGGTGCGTGTAGAGATGCGTGGACAGTACAGTATTTATAAGACATACTTGTATTGTGCTTGGAAGTCAAAGCGGTAAATATTGAACACAAATCTTCAAATGACTTGAATTGCTGTATTGTTGTTAGTGGCTGAATGTGTTCAAACAGGTATGACTTCGCTGTCAAACAATAACATTAATATTACTGGTATAAAACTATACTTTTAATAAAAATATATGTATTATTTCATGAATGTGAATTTTGTCTTTATAGATACAATTACGATTTAAGTAATCCAGGTTGTGAGTATAAAAGCATGAATATGAATTTGCTGCAAGGGTTGGGACTGGGAGAGCTGCAGACTGCAGAGGACTAACGAGGATCGTCTTGGTTGGTTCATCCTAATAATCGAGATAGTTCAGAAGGTGTGAAACTGGAAAAGGTACTAAATTGTAACTAAAACTTTAAAAATAAACAACAGTCTGAATTTCTCCATTATTTTGAAGATCTTGAATGTGTTACTTTCATCGCTTTACTAATAGGAAGGGTAACGGTCTACCAGCTCAAACCGTGGAATCAAGAACAGTACTTGGCTTCGAAATAGACCTTGGTGAAAATATCAAGAACAATGGATGGATCCTACACAAGTCTGTTCAGCCCACGGCATGGCCATCTCTAGTAGTGGCCATTAGGTTATATATATACCGCTGCGGTGCTTTTGTGAAGATTAGTAGGGTCATTACCTATACCGGACCACTGTGGACTTGATCTCACCCTCCTCTGTTTATACAGCATATATACCCTGTTTTGTACTTCTCCTTAGTCTGTCCTCACCCCTGAAGATGTGAATTACACGAAAGCGCTTGGGAACTTCGTGTTTTCTTTTTCCTTGTGGTTATCAGCATATACCTGGATCACGCACACCTATAGTGATTTACTTGTGTGTGTGTGTGTGTAGTGTATAAAAGGGAGTGAGAGCGAGATCATCGTATAACAAATTATCAACTATGACAACGGTTCCTAACACCCGCCATATGCTTGGTAAGCCTCGAATAGTTCTCTAGCAGCAGACACTCAAATACCGAGTCAGTTTTATCTTATCTGTATCTCATAGGTTACATTACTCATTTAGATGAACTGAAAATAAACTGAATAAATGGCTTAGATGCGAATTTCATTGTTGAACATGGTTATGGTGAACTTGTGGGGTATGGGTTGCTTGGGTTCACACTCAGGATGGGATGGAGAAAGGAAACTCACAATGTGCTCTCTGTGTACATGTTGTATTGGATGTACAATGCAGCTTGGTGCTGGGAAGTGGCAGCGTGGTTACAAGCGTGATGTAGAGAGAGCTGGTTGGTGAGGATGCTCAGAGGATGACCAGCCTGTGGGTCGCCCTGCTCGCCGGCGGGAGCGAGGACCGCCAGGCAGGCGGAGGAGGTGTTGCTGGCTGGTTGGTGTAGGTAGACAAAGAGATCACCACGAGGTCTTAAATAGCGGGGGTAGGCGTGGCTTAGTAGTTGACCTCCGTGATGTATGGCGGCGCTGGTTGACCCAGACCACGAGGCATACACTGGAATTCGCGGGGTCGGCTACTCAGCGACAAACAGCGTTTGTAGGGGAGAAATCCACTACAAACTATCAAATAGAGTAACGTAAATTATACGCAATTCAGTCTTCAAGAAATCTAGCTGTCAAGGTTTTGTATAACTCCCCCTAAGTTTACACTAAAAATACAGATAAAAGTGAACGTTATTAGGATGCATATAAAACGTGTGGGACTAGGCAGATACAAGGAAATTAAAAATACTGTAGTCAGCTTTCAGTAGGAATTACATAATTAAAAAGTTGATTTCGCTTTATAAAATGATCCTTGCATTTTATATTTGAAGGCAACTGAGGGAGGTGTGCTTATAGTATAGTATTTCTGAAATATTGCATTTGACTGTGAAAGAGAGAAAGAGAGAGAGAGAGAGAGAGAGAGAGACAACAGAGCTTCCTGAGGAGAATGACCCAAAACGGATGTGCTCAACCGCAGGTCACTCGAACTCACTCAACAGGTGCGGTTCTCCACTCAAGTTCCTCAGTCAATCAAAAACCTTGTAAGCTGACTAATATATTAAATTATATATTATATTATCTATTTATCATAATATATAATCTTCATTTTGTAACTCAATAATATTTTGTGGCGAATATTGTATACTTGTATTTATCTGTGATTTTAGAAGATAATATAAGGTCTCATTTGAAGTTTGTTGACAATATGGCAGGAGTGTACTAGTTTATGTGACACAACTTGGTTTACAATGTTAGTAACTAGCCCACAGTGATAATAGTTGTATTGCTACTAAGGTTAAGTAATATGATGGTTATAGTTTTATTTGGCTTGTCTTATAATGATAAATGGAGGAGTGGTGGAGGAGAGGAGTGTGTTACACGCAGTGGTCACCACCCTAACAAGTCACTGAACTTGGTTAATAGTTCTGGTGGAGCTTCTTTATGGCGTTGATTCTCGGTCAATTTCCTTACCATAAGGCAATTTTTATTCTATTGTATTTTTTGTGACTAGGAAAGTATTGTGCCCCACAGTTGACTCTTAATAGTACCCAAGATTTGGAATAAACTTCAGTTTGCTTCGAATTCATAATACATGAAATTTTGGTTGAGATTTAGAAATGAGCTTAAATATAATCTAATACATTATTCCATTATTGTATTTAACATAAGTTTTATATTTGAAAAGGAAGGTCTTATAATTCTTTGGTCGACAGAAGCTGGTGTGGTACAAGGTAAGGAGTTGCTGAGGACAGCATTGTGATTAAGGTTCAGTATTGTGATCTGACAATTCTCTAGTATGTGGTCCTGCCTTACCTCATGAATATCCCGGAACAGGTTGAGAAATTGCAATTGATTTATATATAGGACTAACCCGCCAGGGCTGCATAGAGCCGATGCGGCCGTATCATCTCAAGTCCGGAAAATGCCTCAAATTTTACCATATTATACTAAGCTCTTTCTGTTTAATATACTGGTTAAGTTAGGTAAGGTTAGGTAGGTTTGTTTGGTTTGGTTGGTTAGGTCTGTTCTTCATACCCACCAATGTTAAGTAGTATTTATTTAAAAAAATCTAAAATTGGTTTTATTTTACTTTAGGACATAGCATGCCCGAAAGTAATAACTAACTAATCATTTAAATCTCGCTATTCTGAGCATTTTGAACCCATATATACATGGCGGAAACAGATAATAATGACACAATTGAATTTAATTGATTTTACGTAATTTTCAGTCTATGTGAGGAGAGATGTTATTGGCGCATCATGCATGCACAATATTGACTGACGTCATCCAGTCGTGACCAATTATGTATCGATATCATCACGCGATTTTTTCGACCAATCACTTCTGATTCTTTTTCAAAGGAAGCAGCCTGGGTAATTTCATTGACCAGTCTAACAATGGCCGTGGTGGAGGTTGGTTTTCATTTGTGCTCCTATGATTATTTTAAGTTTATTGCTTAGTTTTACGAGAAAGACGATCATTTTATCCAAATCTAACGTATCCCTGGTCCTTCCACTTCTAACTAAGGTATTGCACTTTTGGACATGGTTAGGTTAGGTTTTGTTAGGTTAGATGACCCGTTTTCGTTTTCTCCCTCACCCAAAAACCCCGATTTCCCAGGCTCTCCCCCATTATTGTTTGGGGGGGGGGCAAAAACGAGCAATTTCCGTGTATACTGAGATACACTGGAAAAACATATTGGTCAACCCCTAGGGACTCATGTCCTGAAGTAAAAATTTACCATCAATTTTATAACATATTTCCACAAACTACAACAGTGTCCACTATAATATAACAGTGAAAATCCGACATTTTTATAATTGTTTTCAATCAATTTTGCTCGTGGGTTAGTCTTATATAATTACCTGGCAACTTTCCTAATATAGTTTAGTCTTTTTTTTATTATCTTGGTAATAGTTAAGGATAAAGGTCTGGGTTTAACAGTTTATAACAAAAAAGGAAATTAAAAAGGACTAACCAGTGAGCAAATTTTTTTTTTTTTTTAAATGCTGGATTTTCACTTATAGTATAGTGGACACTGTTGTAGTTTGTGGATATAAGCTAGACCCCGACTTACGACGGGGTTAGGGACCTAAATCCAGGTCGTAAGTCCGAATGGTCGTAAGTCCGACAGATAAAAAAAAAAGAAATCAAATTTTTTTTTAAATAAAAAATCTACAATGAAATACAGTACAGGTAGTGCTCCTATAACGCGATAATTGTGTTCATGTTAAATATCGTGTTATAGAAAATCGCGTAATAGAAATAACAGGGCTTATGGAGAAAATAGGGTTAGGTGCAGATTACTCGAAATCGAAAATATTTAGTAGTTAGCCTAATACAAAGGATAGCACAGTCTAAATAAATGTTACATTCATATCTAATAATGAAATCATACAGTAAATGTAACACTTTACTTGATGGGGGAGAAGGGTGATTTTGAGGTTGATAAAATCGAGCTTCTCTTCAAGTGTTATATCCTTTCTTTTACGATCATCACCGGGAATTCTATCACCAGAACGCTTCTCGTTGATATTCTTTACTATATTCACAGTTAATACAGTGGGGTATGCTATAACGAACGAAACTCCTACAACGAACATTATTTAATTTTTTGTTTGTTTTTTTCTAATTTATTGTTTTTTTATTACAAATATTAATGATATTCTTTATTTCAAGGGTTTAGATGCATATTTATGCACTTTTTTACAATTTTTACAATTTTATATTATATTTTTCAGTGTTAAGTGGTTGTATTTGGGGGCCTGGAACGGATTAATCCTATAACGAACGAATGCTATAACAAACAAGGTTCTAGAACCAATTAGATTCGTTATAGCATGCCCCACTGTACCACAAAACTGGAGAAATAGCAAGCAAAAATCGCGTTATAGCAAACAAGCGTTCGCGTTATACAAATATCGTTCCTAATTCATAAATCGCGTTAGAGCAAATTCGCGTTATCAAAACACGCGTTATAGCAGAACTCACTGTACAGTGAAAGTAATAAATAATGAGGAATGGATACAGTGTGACTGAGCACTTACCTTTAATGTAGTCAGCTGAATGCACATGGGGCCCCCATAATTTTCTAATTATACATGGAGACTACATTAACTGGAAACGTTTCGGTATAGAAAATGCGTGCGTCATTTGAAAAAAAAAAATGGTCACAACTGCGGCGGTCGTAAGTCCCGACGGTCGTAAGTCCAAGCCCCGGACCATCAGGTATATTAAACAGAAAGAACTTACTCTGATATGGTGAAATTTGAGGCATTTTCTGGACGTGAGATGATACGGCCGCATCAGGTTTTAGAAGCCTGGGCGGCGGAGTGATTTACTGTGTTGGCGAGTTCCACAATAAATGATTATCATATCAGAACTCACTGATGAAAATAATTAAACAGTCTATGTAAAGGAACAATGCCGTGATCTTTAAGCAATTGAAGGGTCTCGCAAGTCCGCCATGGTCCAGTGGATAAGGGCTATACCAGCCACTCATCGAGGCCCGAGTTCGATTCTTGAAGGGTCTCGTTGTCTTAACCCTGTAATTCACAAATTATGTTCATGTAAGATCGGTGACAACCTTCACACGACATGCTGAAAAACATACTGCCCCAGGCACGGGAAAGGTCCCTCAGCATAGCACGGCCTCATTACCGCCTGCAAGACAAACTAGTGCATGTTTAGGCGCCTTATTATCTATGAAACGAACAATTTCCACAATAAATGATTATCATATCAGAATTCACTGATGAAAATGTTGTAAGAAAATAAACAGTAATAAAAATAATCGCTCATGAGTTTGTCCTATACAGTATATTAACCACAAAAAATATGTACATTATTGAATTGAAGAAATTTGTCAGTTTTAAAAAAATGACCTTGAAATACCTCTGGGCCTCTTTCTGGCTTGATGTACCTTGTTGGTTGTCTGTCAGTCAACGTCGAGGAGCTTCGAATTCAATTAATCGGCGACGGGCACTAATAGTCCCCCCTATTTCTTGCCGAGTCTTCAAGTTAACCTGAAACATAAATGTGTAAATATTCTTCTTCAGACATTTTAAGTTAATACACAACTTGAACAATGATGCAATAGAATTTTTTGAAGCGTAGTATTCTTAGAAAAACTGTAACCTATGGCCCAATTATTTCTGTGTCTGCTGGCAAGAGAGATGCAATTAATGTACAGTAAGATATTTAAGGTTAGGTTTTGTTAGGTTGGTTATGTTTTTGAACAATTGAAATAAAACAAAGTAAGATACTTAAGATTAGGTTTTGTTAGGTTATGTTTCGCATGGTTAAGTTAAGTTATGATGCTAGTTTTATTTTTTAACTTATAAGTAACAATAAATTAGTTAGGTTAGGTTTTATTTTTTCTCTCACATCTGAGGTATTTGTACTAGAATTGAAGATCAAAAATGATTAAAGCACATAAATTTATAATACAGTAATCCCGTGGTTTTTGCGTTTGAGAAGCCTCAGTCCACACGTGCCTACCATACTGTGAACGCTACTGTGACTGCGTGAGGGCGGGCAGACGCCGGGACAGCAGGGAGAGGCTGGCAATGCGGGTGTTGCCAACCTCGGTGAAATATAAATTTTTTATTTACTTGTAAATGATTTTTTTTGTATATAACTGTGTTTACTTTTTTCCATTATTATACTACAATATGATTAGTTCCACATAATGATGTTAGTAAATGCCAGTACAGTGCATCAGTGATAAGTGTGACCACTGGGCCGTGAGTGGAGAGCATGGCGTGGTTAAGTGCATGACCTACCTGAGCTGTTTGGTGGCCACAGGTACAGTGATTCCGAAAAGAGTATTCGCGGTTTTGGCTTTTCGCGGGGGTTTCAGGAACGTAATTCCCGCAAAAAACACGGGATTACTGAAGCATATAGAATTAACAATAAGTGCTTTAATCATATACGGGTATTTACCAAAAACTTAATTTCCTACTTTATATAAAAAATAAAGCAAATTTGGGTACAGGACTACAGCATCTCTTTTCATAATCAGTTTTATTTCCTGTTTGTTTTTTCACAAATAAAAGTGCTCTGTGCCATCTGCCTGATGCCAACTTGTTTGTTGCACATAAGTTTTTGGATTACTTGAGCAAGAGGAGCCCAAGAGTTTCATAAACATTAACACTGTTTTGTTTCATACTCACTTAGAAGTAACAGCAACAGCAGCTGTAACATTGGAAAAGTTTAGGTTAGGTTAGAGTTGGTTAGCTCATGAAATGGTTAGGAAGCTTTCTATTGCTTAGCATTCAGAGTTACTTGCAGGTAAATGTTTGTTAGCATTTGGAGGCTGATCAAATATGGTTTTGTCAAGTAGACAACAGGCACCGAGCATATTTATTTAGGGAAAAAGTACCAGAATACAAAGGGTGCAATTCCTACACCAGATTTGACTTATTCATAAAATAAAAACTGAGTTTTCTTGTGTAGATAATATTTTTTAGGTAGCTGGTTAACCTGGACCCTTATCCTTAACTACAGTATTACAAATTTTTATCATCCTGAACACGTATCACCGTTTGTGTGTTAGCTCTGGGTGATGTTTCATAGACAGGAACACTTCTGTTCCGTACATATGAAGAATCAGCAACTATAGATGTATAGATGTTGATAAATTTTCTTACATTAAGAATACAGTATCCCCCAAAATGACAAGGATTTGCAATTATTAAAATATGAGTTATATGATTTGCTAATGAACGGCTTACAAACACACGGACAGCTACTACTGCTACATTACCTACTGTATAGAATTTATCTGAAATAAGATGAAGTAACCTTACCTACCTAACCTAGATCATAGCTTACAACACGTGTTAAGAGGAGCCACTTTTGGAGAAAACTCTGTAGAAAGAACTTGTTTCTTGCCTCTCATATAGCCATAAAAAGATAAAGGAATTGCAAATTCCTACTTTGGATTTCTTAAGTTTTTGTTAGAATAAATACAGTCCTTCCATGAGCTGATGTTTCATGTACGGCTAACTGTTGACGCTTGTCAGTGAGGGATCCTAACACTAAGCAACTGAACACTATACAGCAAATTACCTATACAAACTGTTAATAAAATAACTCCCTAACCAACCTACCTCACTTAAATTAATCTAAACTGATACACTACCATCCTGGGTTAGGTATGTTAGGAAGTTAGGTAAGGTTTTTTTTTAATTTACCTTATTTATGATAAATTGGTTTCTGGTTGGTCACCACAAGGAGGAATGTAAGTGTGAAATTACAGTACCTGTAGAGTGTATGGTAAGCAGCTAATGATCTGACCTGATGTAATGTGGGTTAGGCTTTATTAAGAATGTTTACCTTGTGATTTAGTTTTACTTTATATTCATCTTTGCCTTATGTTGTAGGCTATAAAGCCACTGACTTGATATACGTACTGGTAATTGTCTTAGAAATTACTTTAATTATTATTGATCCTTTTGTTTATCAATGCATTGATTGAAATTGGTTATGTACAGTATCTAATTCTTGAAAGGTTTATAATGTTGCAGATATGTTTTTGCAGACAAAGTGCAATGTGGGAAGCTAGCAGTTGACATGCAGCTATTCCGTCAAAATGCACGAACTCTTCACACAAGTCCTCTCGCACAAGGATCTCTCAAAGGTTAACTATGCTTATTTAGTTCTGTTGGTTTTAATAAGAAAGGAATTATTAACTATTAATACTGTACAGTTATTTTGTAACAAAGACATGTGAGGCCGTGCGGACCATAACGTCGCAAGCGCCAAGAAAGCAGCAAAAAACAGAATGTGGTTAAAGTTTCAGCAAATGGAATTCACTATATCTCTTAAACAGTCATTCTTTATAAGAAATTGAAGCTTACATACTCAGGATTATGTTGTCATAATTACTAGTAATCATGAAAATGACCATAACCTTAGTAATTTAGAGGCATTATATGTTGATGAAATTTGAATATTTTGGTACAGGATACTCATGTACTGTACATCATAACTAATCATAATCAGCACTAAAAATGTCCAAAAGATTAGTGATCACCACAATTACCTTAACTGCATGTTCTGGCAAAAAAAATGATGTACATGTTGGAAATAAAGATAGGGTAATACAAACAAAGATTATTACAGTACATGCAAAATAATATGTACACACACACACAGGATCACATTCAGGTGTAAATACAGTACGCACGTGTAACTCCGTGGGTGGCACGATTGGTGGGTGTGGCACGGTGGTTGTTGTGTAGGCTATGTCATGGTCCAGCACACACACGATTAGTAATGCACAATAATCACCTAATTGTAACCTCATTATTAAACTGTGCACCGTGTCATGATCACAGACAAGGCCTTCATGTTTATTACAAGAATGACGTGAAATACAGTTCCTCATTGTCTGTGACCGCCTGTGTTTGATGGTTTCTGTAGACCTTGACAATGTCGAGGAAGAACTTTGCCTTGTCTGCCAGCACTACGAATGTACGGCTGACAATCCCTTTAAAGAAATGGAATTTTTGACCCTACAAACTATTGCTTCATGCTCTCTCAGCCTCGGAGTCGAGAGGCAATAGGTGTAGGAAGACAATGGTATAAAGACAACAGTTTTGGCTGGGGTGGCGCTTATGGTCCACATAGCCTCGTGTATACCCTGTAGTAGTTGCACAGTGCATACAGTACAGAATATGCATGAATATATTGTATGTATACATATACTGTACAGTACACATACATATATAAACAGTGTTTTGTGTTCATACAGTACTGTACCAGTATTAATTTATCGGAAGTGTGAGGTGATATGTAGTTACAATACAGTACAGAGTTTACTTCTCAAAATAAACATTTATGCACTGAAGTGAACTGCATTTTTGAATAATCAACTTTTCTCTTCCTGACTGTGGCATCTCTCTTCACAGGCTGGTGACTTGTTTAATGTGTCTGACCATGTGATTGTCAATGATCTGACAGATGTGGTTAACAAAATTCTGGAAATTGCCAGCCTACCAGAGTATACCCGGAATGATAATGACCAGAGTGTTGTTGAGATATGTATTACTCGCGTCACATCTGCCATCAGGTAAGAAACTACAAAACTTGTTTTAGTTATAAACTGTGAGGGAGTCTTAAGTTGTTGTTGATCCTGGCCATCCTATGCCAGAGTGTTAAGGATTGGAAGAGTGAAAAAAGACAGCATTTTAATACTGTATGTATATGAATAAACTTTATATCCAAGGTGATGTGTATGAATTTCAGGGAGACTGGAAGCATCGAGCAGCATGCAGAGGCTCTGGTGGCCCTCTTGCAGACCTGCCTCAACCACAACCTGCGACCTTCCACACGTGACCACGACCCTCCCCATGCCAAGATTGCATCTGACGTTGTCTCCTGTATCTTTCTGGTAGGCTAGACTCCAATGTTCTTGGTTGTTTTAGTAATTACTGTATTTAAGATGTAAAATATTTTAATATTGATAAATCTTTTCCCTCAGACCTGGTTTATATTGTTAAATCTGAAAAATGGGATGGAAATTACTTCTGTTTATGGTGAACTGGTGTACAGGACAGTACTAATAATCCCAAAATCTTTCCACACTGCAAAGAACATGTTTATTCCCTTAATGTACAGTATTACAGAATGAAGGGGAGAGACAACCACAAAAAAGAGAGGCTGCTGTGATATACAGCATGCCCTTCAAATTCGCGGGGGCTAGGTTCTCAAAAGGGCCGTGAATCGCCAAATCCGTGAATAACATTTGCTTACAGTACATTTTTACTTGTGTATGCATAAAGAAATGTATATTCCCTATATGTTTGCTCAGGACAATTATTTCTTTACCTGTATTGTATATACTGTATGTGTGTGTGTGTAGACACACACACACACACACATATATATATATATATATATATATATATATATATATATATATATATATATATATATATATATATATATATATATATATATATATATATATATATATATATATATATATATATATATATATATATATATATATATATATATATAATACAGGTAAAGGAAATTACTGTCTCTAGAACGAATGTCTCCCTGTCCCGACCGCAAAAATGCTGGCAACTTTAAAACTGTCCGCAGGAATTCTTGGGTACATTCTGAGTGTCACCTGCAAATAATAGAGGATCGCGAAATAAAAATCCGTGAATTATCCTGGCGTACTGTATATAAGAATGATAAAAATAAATTTTAATACAGTAGTACCCCGATTTACGCGGTCAATTGAACCCATGGGGTACCGCGGAAAGTGAACAACAGCATATATGGGATTAATTCCAATAGAGACTGGCCCGACCCCCAAACTCCACATTTTCAGACACAATACCTACGTTGTAGTAAAAATTACATGGTATGCACACACAATTAATAATTAAGAGAAATATCAATAATATTAGTTTTTTAACACTTAAATTAGTAGAAAAGATGGCTGGACACACAGGGATGAGGGGTTGGTTCCGAGGCAGAGGGCAGATTATTGGCCCTCACCTGTATCACTTGTATCAATTGTATCACTATCCACCACATAGGCTTGCAGGGCCTCTTTGTCAAACCCCTCAAAGTCCATATCCTCACTGTCACTATCACTGACTTGGGCTGGCTGTGGTGGGTGGCGGGTGAAGAACTCGGTAATGTTTTGATGACTGGGCGACCTTGTGCGCATCCTGCCCACGGCGCTTCCCACGTATATGAGTAGATGCACCGCGTAAAGTGAAAGTCCGGTTCTGGCGAGGTACCGCGTAAATGCGAAATCGCGGAAAGTGAAACCGCGTAAAGCGGGGTATTACTGTATAGAATAATTTGTCAGTTTTATAGAGCTTATCAACAAGGAAGGCGAAAATTATGAAACATGAATGCATATTTTGGTTTAGTATGTGATGCTTAAATCTGAGTTCAATGTAAATATTGTGGATGAATTTCTGGCATGGATTTTTCTGTTTTGTATTGTTGATAGAGAATGGAGTGTGGTTGATGATATGAAGTACAGTATGTAGATTACCATTACAAACATAAAATAACTTGTTTTGATAGGTACAATTTCTTTCATGCTATCTGGAACTAGCCATTCGCAAGTACAAAAGACAGAACGCGAATTGTAAGTACAGTATAGTAGAGTACCGAGCAAAACCCTTACCTGTATACTGTAGTTATTCATGAATGACTTTCTTTGAATTATGCATCAGATCTAATCATTGGCTTCATATCCTCAGAAGTACAGTACAATATACAGAAATTATATGACGGGGGGGATTAAAAACAAAAATAAAACTTAAAATTAGAGAGAGTCGGAAGTTATATCACCCATTGCAGGCTAGTAGAGATCATAGGAGGGAGACTCAAACAGTTTAAAGTAACAGAATTTGCTATTTTATGGTACAGTGTTTATAAGTTTGGTGAAGTTAATTACATATAGTAGTGTGGTATATCTGAAAAGTTGTAACATGATATCCTAGGATGTTTATAACCTTTTATTAGTTATGATGGAGAAATAACATGTGAACTGTATAACTCTAGAATCATAGTTTTAATTATTTCATAACTGATTCTTATATATTTGTGCTTCATTTGGTACAGTACAAACTCCTTGGGTAATGTGTAGAATTGGGATATTGAAGTGAGGCATAAGTCGCTTGTGTTCAGTGCTCCTTTTGAAAAATTTGAAATACAGTATTTATATAGAAAATTTTTAAAGTCCATGTCAAGTGAAGATTATTGTTATTTTCCTATTTGTATTTTATTTCTTATTTATTTTTTATATACAGTATTTTTTTATTTTATTTATTATCATTATTACCCACCTGTTTTTTTTAGGTTTATTTGATATTTATGGATCATTTCATTTAACCCAAGTTTGTCATTCTTATGTCATTCATTTTAGTCTTGTGTTATTAACTTATCTAACTTAACTTCAGTATCTGCCTCTTTTTCTTACTTCATAATTTTTGCTTTTTCTTAGGTTTTCTATTACCAACATTTTTGCACTTACTGAAATACAATATTATGAGTTAAGGATACTATTGTTAATCTTTCTAATGGTTTTTTTTTTGGAAGATCTGTAGCTTCTTCAAATTTCTTCATCCCAAACTTACATCACTGGTCTGTTACAGTACCTCACACTAGGGCTCAACAGTAGATTTTGTTTGTGATAAGATCAACCTCAGTATAGACAAGTAAAGGTAGAAACCAGACATGCCAGATTGCAGGAAGAAAATTTTTAATAAATCAATAAACCAAAAATAATTAATTGTGGATTATTTTTTAGTTTGAATAAAGCAATCATTTAAAAAGTAGTAGTTGGAACATGACAATACACACCTAGAGGGTGACTCACCAATCCAAATGGATTTACAGATGAATCCTGGGTTTCATTGTGGGAACAGAAGTAAGTGTTAGTCCCACAGGAAGTGATTTTTATTATGAGAGCCACTTTACTGTGGGCTCTATTAAAAAGTAGGATTTTTGGATCAATTCTTCCTTTTACATGAAAAATTTAGGTTACTACTTTCTGAATTACTAACAAGACTGAAAATGTGAATGAAAAAATAAAATAAATCCTTTATATTATCCAAAAGATTCTCCTTGATTAATAACACTCATTTAGCCAAACCTCTGTTCCTACACTGCTTCACCAGACTCCTTCCAATGGCTGCTTCTGGCTTGTGAATTGGGATTTTTACAAATTTTTTCTGCTTTATATATCGAACCAAAGAAAGATAATATGTGGGTTGATAGATGGATAATATGTATTTTACTTCTTTTGCAGAACTATCACAAACGAGAAGTAATGGCTTTAGCACTTCCTGTGGCAGTTAAGTTCTTACACAAAGGGAATCGTGAACTGAGCCGCAACATGAGTTCCTACCTCTCCTTGGCCGCTATTGAGGCAGCTGATCTCCTGGCCCTACACATACAGCCTATTATTGACTCTGTGATATCAGGTTGGATATTATTATTACCATTATGTACAGCAGCTAAAACAACTATCTGTGCAGGTGGGGGTCGATACACTCCAAAATTTTACGTGTGACTAGTGACAGCCCTCATATACCAAAAATTTATCGTCCATGGTCTCGTATTGTTTCCCACAAAGTATGCACAAATAGTTGTGTCGAGGTTTTGTCCGAAGATTAAATATAACTCGTGAAACATTATGAGAGCCCCCTATCACAAAGCAGAGCGCACCAAAAGTTTAGCCCTTTGGTATATGTTTTCACCAAATTTCACGACATGACTTTTGTCTTTCGTTGTACATCTTTGTGCTGCTTAGAGTAAGACTTTTAATAGACTATGTTTCCCTCTACATCTGCTTCCTGGATGTTCATCTCCCTCACTTCTAATGCATCCATCAGTGGATTCTTTATCTCCTTAACCCTTAGACGGCAGCCATCATCAGTGAGTGTGAGTTGCAGGGACAACATCACCGGTTGTTTTGTGTGCCTTGTGTTCCACTTTTTACATGTATGGGGGAAGATTAGGGAATCCTTAACTGCCATTTAAGGGTTAGTGGTCTTTTTGTTTCCCTTTTACCATGACTTTTACACTTCTCACTGATGTTTCACTTCTCATTCTCTCAATTTGTCCATATTACCACTGCAAAGTCTTGTCTTCTCTCTAAACTTCTTTCCTGTACATAATATGTCTTGATTTCTGTACCTTTTATTCTCTGCATCTCGTTGTTATCGTCATCATCATCACTATTTTACAGCCATCTTGCGGGGATTAACCGTGATTACCCAGTGGCGCATGTCCCGGTTGTTATCTAGGTGTAGTGGTGCTTCTGCATACAAGTGTCTTCTCATAATGCATTTGCTTTTAGTGCCATACTTTATACAGTACAGTACTGCATTCTGGTTTGCCTTAGGTGGACCATCTATGTTGCCTTTGTGAAACTTCTATAATGAAGAATATTTCAACACCTTTCCATCTGACAGTTATATGTCTTTTGGAAATATTTCCTATCAAATTATTCTATGGATAAATTTAATAGTTTCAAAATTAAGGATAGCAAAAAACCATAGTTTTTTTTTTTGGGGGGTAAAAATAAATGTTTTTAAACCAAAAAACATGTTTTTTGGGGTTTAATGCTATTATGTTGGTTTATTAAGTTTTAAGTATTTTTAGCCTTTTTATAACTTCTTAATATGCTATTAATCACAAACATTACAATCAGGATAATTTAGAAATCATTTATACTCTTTTCCATCTTAAAAAATTGTGAAAAGGCCAATTTGAAAATCACAAGCTTAGATCAGTCACCCAGACTCATCCTACATACTTAAAGACATAAACTAAGTTTAAGTTCTTCTTAATGCATCAAAAAAATATTTTACTTTTATAGTTGAGAGTTTTAAAGAATTAATTTAAGTACAGTTGGAGAGAGAGAGAGAAAAAGAGAGATGGGCAGAGGCAACTTGGCTCCCCTGGACCCATATAATACATGATCTGATCACATTAGTCAAAGGCTCAGAGCCCAACAATAAACTGAAACACCTACCAGTTATACTTATCAGTGGTAACTTGGCTCCCTTATAATCAGGATTTGAGATGTGTGCAGCCCTGTAAGAAAGCTTATTGTCACAACTTTCACCAGTGTTTAATAGTTCACATCCATGTTTGTATTGAACACCCGCAGGGACATAATGCATCCCTGCCTAACACCTACATTTATTTCAAATATTTCACTTTCTTTCCCATTTACTCTAACTGTTGCCTGGCTGCTCTCATAGAATGCTATTACTCCATTTAATAGTCTTCCTCCCACCCCATACACTTGTAATACCTCCCACAGTGTTCTTCTGTTCACCCTATCATAGGCTTTTTCCAAATCTACTGTAAATCATTAAAACCATCTGTAAGTAATAAAAAAAAACACTTTAAAGCCAAGAAAAAAGGCATAGATTAAGGAACAAAACCAAGAAAAACTATATTTTTACTACTATTATTTTTTAAACCATTTGGTTTGAATTGGCCAATCCTCTTCAAAATAGTAGTTTTATATTTAGGTCTGATGTAGAAGCCAAAAATGCTGGTCTTAAAAATGTAGAATCATTGGGATATATACAATATTTTCCTATTTGTATACTGTATTTTAAGTTATTTTTTTTTAATCATTTGATACCATCTATTTTATTTAATATTTTTGCAACAGCAAGTAGAATAATTGTTTCATATCATTGGCACATATGTAATTACAGTGATATCCCCGTTAGCCGGAACAATTGGTGCACAGCACTTCCGGGAATGAGAGATGACTCCCTCAAAGATGAAAAAAAATCCCTCATCCCCGGAATTTTCCAGGTAACCGAAACATTTTCTCAGAAGTTCCAGAAATTGCCCATTACATCATCTCTCAAACCCGAAAAAAACTCCCCCATCCCCGGAATTTTGCGGGTATTGGGAAATTTTTCTTTGACTTTTCTGAAAAATGTGCTCCTCGGAAAATCATTCCCAAAGCCGGAATTTTTTGGAAAATTCTGGCTTTGGGAACAATTTTCCGAGAAAATTTCAATTCTGGCTATCGGAGAGTTCAAGGTTTGAGGGATTCCGGCTAACGGAGATATTACTGTATTTTTATGACTAGTGTGTGATGTTGTCGATGTGCTTCAGGTGTCCTTAATGTAATGAGTATATTTTACCTTTCTGCAGGCAACTATTCCTTGTCTCGTGTGCTGCCCCAGATTTATGCTGTTAAGAAGGAACCCATACATGATCATGTGATGACTCTAGTGTCTCTCCTGCCTCAGTGTGATACTAATGAAAAACTTGGACTCCTCATGCTCTTCTCACTTGTTGCTAAGAACAGACCTGCAGTAAGTTCTCATGAAGTTTATTTGTTTTATAGTGTTTGCCATGTAATGTATTTTGGTGGACTGATGCTTCTCGCCTTTCATTTTACGGTTGTATAGGAGTAATTTTAATGGTACGGTACGGTACTGTACTGTACTAACACACTAGGAATATAAGAATGAGTCATACTATACAGTGTTAGAGGAAGGAGTTTATGATCTCACGAGTTAGAAGATGATTACAGTACAATATAATTTGTTCAGGTACAGATGAAACATTTTAATGTGTTTGGATGAGTAAAATTAATTATTTTCAGTGTGATTGAAAATATTGTAAGGTTACCATTAGTGGGATAGTGAAAATGATGCTGTGAATATATACCTGCACTGTACTGTATAATCAGACCATCCAGGGGATTATGAATAGGTGTTCTGGGCACACATTGGTCTGAATACATTAATACATCCAGTTGACTGCTTTAGGACCTATCACATCTCCATTTAAAGCAATGGGATAATTGCTCTTAGATAAGTTTTTAGTGAAGTAGCAATTATTTGATTGAATTATTATGCATAAGAACATGATTTATAAAAGACTATTTCAAGGATATGAATTTTTAACTTAGTCATATTGACAACACACTCCTGTACAGAAGGTAATTTACATCACATTATTTTACTGTACAGTACTTGCATATGCTCTACATTATTTTCAGTTCATTTAAGGTCTTCTCTATTCATCACCAGGTGACTGGCCACATTTGTTTTATATTATTAAATCAGTGATTTCCACTAATACTTAAGAGTGCCTTCTGGCCATTATGTGTTTCTTGCAACTTGTGGTGTGGAGCCTTGTATGAATAATAACAAATGTGTTTCTTGCACATTGTGCAATCTTGTGTTAATAACATCATAAACTGTATAGGGTAACTTAAGGTAACATATGTTGATAAAATCCATGTGTGTTTCTGGCAGCTTCTGGAGCCATCACTGCCACAACTAGTTGAGTGTCTGAGCATCAGTGGGACATCTATGGCCACCTTACAAATTTTTGTGGAGCTGTGCGCATGGCGACCTCACCCATTTTCAGAACACGTCACCAGACTGAAGAGTATTGTAGAGCAGCAGCCTCACTGCCTCGCTCTGGCCTTACAGGTTGGTGTGTTTTTCTTTTATTGAAGTTTACTGTATTGTGTTAAAGTAATTTTCATCATTGATTCATATGGTACTTAGAGTGTATTGTGTTACAATATATAGGAAGTAGTGGAGCATAAACTGAATTTGATAACACTGTATTGAATTAGACATGATGGTAATGTTCTAAAATACAGTAATGCCAATCTGTTGCATTGTTTTATAAAGAGATATAAGATGGTTTCTCAAGTGACTTATGATCATAGTCATAAATTACTTGATTTTCTCAAGAAATTTTTATTAATTAATTATGGCATTGAATTCTTATTATATTATATCCACTCTTAGAGGTTTTCTTTAAACTTTAGAACTTGACTTTTATCCTTTAATTAAGTGAGAGGGAATTTAGCCATCACAATGTTCAAGAATCCGGGTTTGTTTCATGTGTATTTTCTTTGTTACAAGTACACTTGTAGGAGAAGCTTGAAATTTATTTTCTTTGGTTAATAGTGTACTGTTTTGTATATGCTATTGCCTATTCACATAGAGGGTGCTGGAACATAGTTCTTCTCTATCCTTGGCCATAAAATACATTTATATTTTATCAATTTTTTGTTTATTTAGAATAGGTTGGAATGTTCATTGTAATGTGATGTGTAATTGCTTCTTTCTTGAGAGTTCTATTGTTATTATCTGTTTATTAAATGTTATTAATTCTTGTTCAGGTTATGGCTGCAGTGGGGCGAATTAGTAAGGAGAAAGGGAAGAGTTCCTTAGACTACATTGCTCAACAACTGCCCAAGGTCGACTCTAATAATTTAGGTGTTGGTAAGTGGACTTATAGAGCTTATTTCCTGCTGAAAAGAAGGAAGTAATGGTTGTCTCTAATGAAAAAATAAATTTTGATAAATATTGTGGTAGGTACTGGGGAATTTAAACAGGCTTCCTATATTTCAGTGTCACATTACACCACATCCACCTCACCTTTTTAATTTCAGCTTGCTCAACCAAGCATATACAGTATCATCCTCTTTAATCACATAAGTTTATCTGCTATATAACATAACATTCTTACACCCTTTGTATACATCTTTCCTTTCATATGAAAGGAAGGTCATCTTGCTGTCAATAAAGGCAGCAACTCCCTAAACTTCCTCCAGCCACTTCTGACTTGCAACTGAGTTAGGTTAAGCACTGATCATGTCACCTAGGTAGCAGATTTCATAGACACAGACGAGAAATGTATCCCCATGTTAACTTTCTCCAGCCTTTTTTAAGGCCACATGATTACCTGCATTTAGAGATTACTTAAAGTCAGCAACATCTTGCAGTCCACCATTTACACCACTGCACCTCTTGTGTACCCACACACACACTGCACATTATTTTAGTTTCTGACAACTCTTTCTTGCAGAAAGCGCAGACAGATATTTATGGGCACTGTGCAATTACAGTAATGTTAAAAGGGCAAGAGGAATGCAAAGGCTGGAATTAACGAATAAAGTTAAAACAAATAATATGGTTCCAGGAGAGATACAAAATCTGGGAAGTTTGGTAGACAGTTTCAAAATATTTGGAGTCATGGGCTGCAGTTGCTGACAATAGATGCTATGAAATTTAGGATTTTTATTGAGTATGAAAGGTTTTTGGGTGAATTTTTTGTTGTTAACTGTTACCAAACTTACCAGTGTTTATTATAGCCAAAGATATAATTCTTTAGCCAATTTTTAAATTCTTTAGTCAATTGTTAATTTATTATTTTGCAAAATTATTGAAGTACCTGTGCAGTATTGTAAGGGATTAATTAAAAAAAGTTGTGAAAAATGGCCAAGTTAAATGAAAATAGGGTGAACAATCATTTGACCTTTAGGTATTGTGTTGAGTAAATAGCCGCAGTAACTGTTTTAATATCAGTTTAAATTGCAATAAGAAGTTTTTGTTTAACTTTTCAGTTTTGCGTGAGGTACAGGTATTGTGCAGCCAGTACCCGGCCCTCTTAGTAGAGTCTGAGTCCTTGCTTACCGCTGTCAACAAGTGCACAGATCGGTCCAACACTTCTGCCAGAGTCTACATTCAGCAACTAAATAATGAGTACAATGAAATAAGGTACAGTGTTTACATGGAGACGTTGTCTCTTGCTTGGGGATACATTTCTCAATCCATCCATTGTTTCATTTCAGTCTCACTGTTAATTAGCTCATAACCTATGATTATGGTAATCTTTGTACCAGAAATATATCGGTTTTGTTACACACTTGAATTTCATTTAAAGTCACATGTGTTTAAGGTCAGTGAACACTCCTAAATATACTCTACATATACAGAATGCCACTTTAGCTTGGACCAATTATGGCAGCACATGTTCCTAAAACCTACAAATGGAAATGGAGAATGAATCCTATTGATTTAAGACAATATTCTATTTCCAAAGAAGTCAGAAGATGAATAATACAGCTGTACAGTTAACCTACATCACATGTTTCGTACAGAAGACGGAGGGAAGTGTTGAGGACACACATGCCTACAGCAGTGTTTGATAAGTTATACTCATCTACCACATTTTCTGTTAGCAGACACACTGACTTAGACATGCAGGGATAATTAAAGATGAAATGATGAATTCACAATCCAATAAACTCTCATCTTTAGCTGAGGATGTGTCCTTAAAGTGGTCATGCAGTTCCATAATTATGCAGTTGCAAATCCATTAAGAAATTAGAATACCCCGTATAAAGCTTAAGTTCCGTAGGATTCAGGAACCAGGGAGGTCATCCATTTCTCCTGTTGTTACCCCTGTACTGTATTGTAGTCCAAGTACAGTATACTATAGCACCATTTCTCCACTAAAAGTCAATATTAAACATAACTCTTACTAGTTAATAGATTAACCATTAATTATTGTCTTACCTGGTTAAGGATGGTGGCTTGTTTTGTGTCGTATAGCTGCAAGTGGTGGTGGTGGTTGATCTTGTCCAGCTAGGCCTTTGTTGACCTTATTTTGTCTGCAGTTCTTATTATAATGGTAGTCATAAATTATATGTATGGCCAGAAATGGTTGAGGCAGGTTGTAGCACTTATTAGTGTTCAAGGGAAGATATAACCACTGTTAGTTGTGCCAACCACCACCTGTTGGTATACCAGTTAGCCTAAATCCTCTTACCTAAGCTAGCATGAAATGATGGCAAAATGTTTAGTTTGGGGGGTACTGTTTATTTTACAATAGGATATGTTTTTAAATTATAATTAATTTTCTCTTCTCATGTTATTTTTTGCCCAATACAGGAACACCAATGTTAACCACACTCCTGGTGGGGTGACCATTGTTCGTGTGGGTGGCAGTGGTGGCAAAGCAGATGCAGTGGTTGGCTCGAGCCGTACAGATCTCAGCCTAGCTACACGTGACCTGAGTATATTCCAGCCTCATTCATCAAGTGCAGCTGGTGTTGGAAAGTTTGGCCACAAATACCAGAAACACAGTGATACTTCAAGAAGTACTGGACGCTTAGTCACGGCCTCCAATAGATCTATGCCGAGATTAAATGCCTGTAAGTAATCTTTTACAGTGTGAAGTTTCAATGTTATATTTTATTATAAGGTTAAATGTAGCAGTAAAACTATCATTGGAAAGGTTTTGCTGAATTTTAAGACATAGGAGGCTCTGATTCTTTAAAAAATTATCATCACAATTCAGTTCTGGTGGTCAGGTGACTAAAACATACACATCAGGAGAGCACTTGATGTTTTCTCTTGTTTATTGCCACAGAGACCTTCTGAATAAAAAAAAACTTACAACAATCATTGTTTAGCCTGTCTCATTGGTGTTAATATGACTGTTGTGATATTTGTCATTGTTGAGGTGTCAGTTGACTTGGTGCCTTGTTTTGTTATACTGTATCTGTGTTTTGGTTTATTGCTGTCTACACAGGTTTATGATGACTCGCTTTGTTTTTATTCTTATGTGCGACACTTAAGGCTAAATTTTCTTGAGTCAAATAAATGCATAGATAAATTTTTTAGTGCAGTATAAAAAATCAGTCAATTATCAATGGCATTTATCTGTTTTAAGTCTTTGTTATATGTAATTTAGCTGAATAGATGCATCCTCTCACTGTAGGAGTGAGAACTAGTAGGGGTTCCCCGGGTTATGAATGGGTTCCGTTCCTGAGGACGTTCGTAAGTCAGATTTGTGAATAAGTCGGGACACATGCTATATACCGTACTTACAACACAATGTTTAAAATCTCACTTTATCATATCTTAAGTCCTTATATGCATCTAAAATCACTTAATTTAAGACAAAAGAAGAAATAGATTGACAAAATACAGTAAATGAAAGTAAAAAATAAGTCTGCAGGTAAATAAAATACTGTAAATTTCAAGTTTAACCTCGTTGTATCGGTGGGTGTTCGTAAGTCAGGGACCTCCTGTATATATATTTTGATGCATGCCATCTTATGCATTTAGACAAATGAATAGCCTTCTAAGCATTGCATAAGACATCAAACATAGTTTTCTCATTTTAAATTATGTAACTGATTATTTTTCATTTGAATCTACATATGTTTATTGATTACAGTACCTCAAAGTACTGGTCGCCTCGGGTCATCCTCCATTCAGCTGAACAAGTCCATGACACGCCTCAGTTCCTCACATGGTATGCACATAAATCGCTCCGTCACTGTTCTGGCTCCTCCGTCACGTCACTTCTCTGGCCACCTTGGACCAAGTTCAAGTCACCTGGCTCACAGTTCAGTTACTGGACACCATCTGGGTGGATCACAAGTGGGTGGCTCACACATTGGAGTGTCACGACTAGTGTCTAGTCCTCCCCCACCTGGAGTTCCTATGTCTGCTGTATCATCACTTCCAGGTGAGTCTGTCTGAGGTGGCTATGTATTCTCAAAGTTCCCTTCCTTCCAATGGGTAACAACCAAGTTGCTGAAATGGAAGTTTGAAGCTTGAGTTGACAATTTAGGAGTAAGTCGTGTAGCATTTGCTTTCTGTATTATTAGTATGATACGACCCATCAAGCTTCATACCTTAATTTGTGACTTGCTTCTATTATCCCTATGACTGCAGTGGGGAGATATTCCTAATCTTTTTATTAGTATTACTAGTTAATTCCTTGGGATGTATTTCCCACCTTTAGACGTACTATAATAGATGATGTACGAGTTGCCTGCTCCAGAATCGGTTATTTAGTGGGATTTCAGGATCAATCCTCCAATTTTAAAGCCTTTATATAGATGTTGCATTAATTACAGTTAGAAAGGTTGATAACAGATTTCATGTAATATCACTTAAGGAAATTCCCTTAACCCTTTCACCGCGTCGGCCAATTTCGGCGGTATTCCCCAATAAGTGCCAAAAGTCACTAAAAAGCGAAAATGCTTACATTAATGTTTTAACTACTTTTTTTTAATGAATAAAGAGTGATTTTCCTTTCACATTTTACACGCCTTACTCACTCACGTATTCCAGACATTTCTGAAAGGCAAAGAAAAACAAAAAGTATCGGAAAACCCGTCTCAATATGCCATGTTTGGCTCTCTGGTTATCTGTTTCACTCTATTTCCTCTTATATTATGTTTTCTTTCTCCTCTATTCATTATGTACTACCGCTTTATAATACATATTTCATATAACACACTCCTAAACTTTTAAAATATCACTATATACCATTATTCTCTAAAAAAGTTGAATAAAAAATGTCACAAAATTTTCCATCATGGCATATGCAAGACAAAATTTCACTTCCCAACTTACCTTGTTCATTTAGTCATAAAAATGGGGAAACTGGGCGAAAAACAGAGCAGCAATGTTAACTCCTCTTGTTTTGATGGCGGGAGCTTTAGCTTGCCCCAGTCGTCGCTAGGTGGCAGCATCTCCTGGGCCGGAGCATAATTCAACCCCTGAAGGACTGTAGTCGAGTTATGCGTGAAGGGAAAGTTTTTTTTACGAATGTGGACTAAAGTCGATTTACAAGGTAAAGGACAAAAATCAAAATGTGAATAAAGTTAAGCCATGCGGTGAAAGGGTTAAATTAGTGTTTCTGTAACTTTGATCAGGTACAGTGAGTCCAACCAAGAGCATGAGCTCCTCCTTAGCGACCCTACGTGAAGGTGCTGGAGAGCTGGGTGCTTCATCAGGGGTGCTGGTTGGCCCTCACCTATCCCAGGCAACTCTCCTACCTCCAGAACTGCCTCACACTACAACAGTCACTTCCACAGGACATCATACTTTATCACTCCCACTTCATTTGTCCCGAGAACTTGGTTAGTACAGTAATTGTGTATTATTGCTACCTCCTCTCTATATAGTGTGTGCGCGTGCGTGCCAGATCCCTTTCAATAATCATTACATCATAGCAGAAAAAGCTCGTCTTTATGAAATTTAAATATTTTAATGCAAATTTTTAATGATCAGATTTATGACTTTTAGTAATGTGAGAAAGTATTTCCATATATATATTTATAATTGATATGTTGAAGTTTATGAATATCTCACAGCTGTAGGAGGGGAGATGTTCACCACATGTTGTATCATGTTGCTGGATAACTTCTTATTGATTTAGTTACCTTTCAGTAGCATTGAGTTTATGTATATAGCCACCACAGCTATAGACTTGTTATCCATTGTCCTGGACAGCTCCCTCATCTTTACCAGTGACGGTTACTGGTATAGGCGGTGTCATCACACACCTCAGGCACTCACAGTCTCCACTCTCCTTGCCTCCCTCCACCACCACTGTCACCACCATAACAACTCCACATTCTTCATCTGGTAATATCAGTTACTTTTTATTTTAATTTATGAATGTCACTTACACTGTTCTGTCAGAGGTAGAAAATCAAACCATTATGTAATCATCTAGTGAAGCTGTGAGGCTCTAGTGTCAGGGAATAATGTAGAACAGTATATGAGGATTCTTAGAATAAATGTGAACATATTTTATACATATTTATCTGTAAAAACAAACAAGGAAATTGTATTACATAACTGAGAAGTGTAAAAGTAAACACTGGCTGAAACTGGTTACAACTTTGTCAGGTTTAATATGTGACATGTTTATATCATTTATTGCTCTTTACCTGGGGATACAGTACAATTCTGTTAGTTACAGTTTTTTAATGATCTTTTGTAGAAGTATATGTGCAGGAACATAAAGCATTTCTTGATGACTTACATACATGAAGATGTTTTTCTGAAGTGTTCGATATATTTCTAGGGAGTTGTGTTACAAGTGGCCATGGTGTTGCAACAAGATCTAACACAACTCTGACTCAAATCACTCATGACCACCACACCACGACTACCAATGCCTGCACTCAGGTCAGTAAAATGTGTGTTTATTAGTTCCACTTATAGTCCATTTGTAGGAATGAAATGTCTTAGAAAATTAAAAATTTTCATTTCAATTGATAAATATATTTTTTTAGCTACAGTACCTTGTTTATTGCCATATTTTAATGTGCTAATATGTGACAGTTCTTGTTTATTTGGGTTTCTGTTTCTAACTTTGATTTCCTGACTAGAGGGTAGAAGAGGTATTTGTTTAGTCACTGGGTCATAGTTCAAATATTTGCTGACAAAACGATTAATTTTCTCCACTTATATTTTAATTCTTTGTTATAGGAATGAAAAGCAGATGCCTTTCTTATGTACTGTAATTTATTAATTAATATATAAAAAGAATCTGAAATTTAGTTAAACCTTTTTTTGGTGATGAATACAGTACTGTACCTTGAATGGGAAACTAGTTAGGAAAATTGTAAATGTGGTCTCCTGTTGCTTATGTGGGAAGTAGCTTAAATGATTTATCTTTAACTCAGTATAACTTTTGGAAATACAGTTGAAATCTTATGTATATACAGAGAATAAGTGTCTTTGAGCCTTTTGCTATGAGGGATACAGTACAGCACTTCTGTGAGAAACACCTGGACAAGATTAAAGCTTACATGCAGAAAGTGTTTGTCAAGCTTCCTCTCCCTGTGCGCTGTGGGATTGAAGGTAAGAAAGCATTATCATTCCTAATTTCGTGTTTATATAATAATATTTCAGTTATTTATTCATAAATGAAGCTCAACCAGCTGGTAATGGCATTTTAAAATTTTTTGTAACTTAAGTACCTCTGGATACTCTCACTCAAAATTTTGTACATGTGCTTCCACAGAGAGAAAAAATAAAAAACATGCCAAGCTGTACTTTGCATGTCAGGGTAAAGGAGAACATTGTCTCTACAATAAACATCTCTTTACTATGAAAACCAGAAACCCAAGGATCTGGATTCACCTCATGTTCCTTGCTCTTCAGGTAAGTCTTTCCCTGCCAGTCACTTTAGTTCTTATATGTTGAAAAGGAAGAGGAGGATGACTTGTCATTATTAAAGAAATTTAGTCATCAGTCAGGTAGTTCATTGGATAATTAATTTCATTATTTGTACATGAGATCAAGATTAAGATGGATCAGCAGTTTCATCATCATTTTGATTTAAACTCACTTAAAATTTATTATTCATGAGTTTTATTGATATGTATTTATTATTGTATAATTGTATATGGGTACCTATAGTTGCCTTTACCATGGATTAGGCTCGGTCCTGTGTGGCCCTGAGTACTCGAGAGATGCAGGTGAGCAGCCTCAAGAATTGCTGGGACATTCTCAAGTGTGATACCAAGACGTTTGTCACCCTGGTCACATCTGCCTTCCCTTCTGCAAAGGTCAGCCATTAATACTAATACGTGTATATATATATATATATATATATATATATATATATATATATATATATATATATATATATATATATATATATATATATATATATATATATATATATATATATATATACTTATACAGCATTGTAAAGCATGTACTTTGATCTTTTTGATGAGTCGTATTCTTCTTTAACTTCACCAGAAACATTGTGGTATCTAACACTGGACACATGATTTCATTTCATTGAGAATTTTATCTTATTTACTTATAACTTGAGTATCAATTTCATTTATGATCCAGCCTGTGTTAAGTATTGCCTCTGAGTCCAACCCTGCCCACAGTATTACACACAGTACCTGATATTTTGGGTCCAAAGTCTCAAGGTCCATTGGTATAAGTCACTCTTTAGTTTGCAGAATTCACATGTTCACCAAGTGGATGGCCTGGATGGTGTGTCAGTTGTTGAAGTGCTACTGTATATTGTATCCAATCTGTCATTTCCTCACACTGATAGCAAGATATGACAATTACTCTTTTTTTTTTACGAATTGTCCATCAACATCCATAAGCGAGCCACATCATGTGCCTTTATGCCATTGGCTTTTATCAGATATGCTGAGCAAGAAATTTACATTATGTAATACTATTGTTTAAAGATCATTATTGTTGAACTGAATAAATAATAGAATGATCAGGTAGATAGATAGAAAAGACTCATGTCATATAGTAGTTACACTTGAAGGGTTGACCATTTTTTCACTTAATTGGCAAATTGCATAGTTGAGGCTTCTTCCCATAGTGACACTCTGAATGGCAGACATATTACTCATCAGATTTTCCTTTATAAAATCAAAATCAAAATGGTTTTGTTACTGTCAAACAATAAATCACTTACTAAAAAGATACACAGAATTATAAAATAGGCATATAAAGTAATTTCCTTATTCTTCATATGTTTGCTCTCTACATTATTTGAGCATGGTGAATATTGTGGGGAAAGGAAACAGGTGGCTCATTTAGTCCCCATTTGTTCCTGATGAATTTATCCTTTAGTGTCTAGTGTTAGTACAGTACTGGAGGAGACTGGAATACAGTACCTGGAAGAAACCTGGATACACCTTTCTCATATCTGATCTGGGGATTGAACCTGGGATAAAGTAGTGAGAGGCAAGTGCATCACCACTAACACCAGTACTGTACTATCATTACATTACTGTGTATGAATTTTGTAAGAAATTCCCCCAACTCTACTTAATAGGTGTGCACCACTAAGATATACATACAAATCCCATAACATTTTGCACTGAGGTATGTTGGGTTCATCACTGGTTACTTGAAGTTCACTTTGGTTATATTCTGGTGCTGTATTGTTTTAATTGAAGTCTAATTACTAGAGACGCCTCAGTCAAGTCTTGCTACTTTCTGAACGTGTAGCTGTCTGGTAGCTCATCTTATTACTACTGTATACTGTATTGAGTCACTGTAGTGAGAGTTAGACTAACATAAAGAATGCTTTGGGGAGTGTGTCGAACATTGTTATTGGATTATCATTGATTAAATATATAAAATGGGTTGGATTTGAATTTAAGAGAGGGCTCTTATGATGTAATGTAATGATTATCCTTAGCAAGTGGTGGGGGGTGGGGGGTTGAGCCTCTGCCATTCCTTTCCCAAGACCCAAAATTGCTCTTGCAGTAGTTACAAAAATAAAGTCAATATCTAATAAAATATCTGCTCTTTACATGTTTCTTTAGATATCTATTAGAAAATGGAAAATTTTGAGTTTTTGTATATAAACAATACCAGATTTGAATAATGAACGTGTTAAAAAAGTCACCTGAAGAGAAGCAAATAGGATTTATTTGGTTTTTGTAATTATGATTCCCTTGAGAAGAGAAAAGAAGGGCTTCTGTCTCACTAATATTCTCTTCTTGTCACTGTCGTTGAGTGTGATACAAACTTCTACTTTCAGGACATGGACATGTTAATGCACGAGTTGCGAAATGCAAGATTTTTTGATGTTTTCGAGTACAACGGAGTAGAGCAACAGTGGGGTTGTTTCCTCTGTAATCACCCTGATCGAGCCAGAGGTTTTGTCGATGTAAGTATCTGTACATTTCATTTTAATTCTCCAATTAAGAGTACTTGTATTAGTGTACTGTTCTTAGCTGAAAACCTGCATTATTTTTCATACATGTATGATTACTGTTTTCGTATGGGATAACCTTGGCATTTGCAAGCTTGTAGAAGTAGGAGACAGAGAGAAAGGCAGCTTTTATTTGTTTTGGAGAACTTTAAATTATTTACCCGCAGGAAGATTGCTCACAGTATCCTTGGAAGAACTTATATCCTCAACATGCAACTTTAATATATAATTCATCCGTTTATTACTTTCTCGACTTGACTTGTTTTCATCTTCTGTATTTATCATTTCATTTGACTAGGAGGACACCCCTGTAATTGAGGGACAGCTGAAGGAAAAGAAGAGCAAGTGGAAAATTTTTCGCAAGTGGCGCACAAGATACTTTACCCTCTCAGGGGCACATCTCTCTTACAGAGGAGCTGGCACAGTAAGTACTGTATGAGATTATGCTAAATTGCAGTGTTAAATTACATTATTCCAGTATTAAAAAGCTAAATGCAGTGCATGAAGGAAGTAAGCTAGACTTTTTTCTTCTTCTCATATACTTGTAGTACTGTATAGTAAGTCCTCGCTTAACGTCAGGGTTACGTTCCCGAAAACGCAAAGTTATACGAAACAACGTTAAGCGGATCAATTTTCCCCTATAAGAAATAGATAAAATATGGGAGTTAAGTTCCTGAGCCTCCCTTTGCCCCATGAAATACATTACATATACAGTGAACCCTCGCTTTACGCTTTACTACGCTTTACGCCATTTTTTTTTTTTTTACGCGTTTCTACATTAACATGGTACCCTGCCACTTTACCCGGTGCATCTACTCATATACGCGGGTGAAGTGTAATTTTTTTATTTAGCTCATAAAATTCATACAAATTACCCGGCCAGAATATAATTTACATTGCTGGAATTCTTACAATTTGATGATCATTTTGAATATAAACATCATAGAGTTTGCATTAGACATATAAATTTTAGATCAAATGTAAGTATTTTGTTTACTCTTAGTAAATATGTTATCTTTTGTGCAAAATATATGACATTTATATTCAAAATATTCCTGGTCTTACAAGGAATCCAGCAATGTCAATTATATTATCCTAACTTTAGTTTGAGGTATTATATATTACTATACAATACCTTAAAATCTAGTGTTTTCCCCCAAACATTTCTCAGAGAGGGAAGAGCCAGCGAGTGTAAGAGGGGGAGGGAGTCGAGTCCATTATTTGAATGGACATTAACTTGGCGACTATTTCTCTATTTCTCTTAAATATTAATTGTGTGCTTGTACCATCATAAAGTTAAGATGTTATTTTTACTAGAACATAGGTATTGTGTCGGGAAAAAGTGGAGTTTGGGGGTCGGCCCGGTCTCTATTTCAATTAATCCCTTATGTTATGTTGTTCACTTTACGCGGGCCGCCGTGGGTTCAATTGACCGCGTAAAGTGAGGGTTCACTGTACCAGGAAATTTTAAAATTTACACCTGGAAAAAGCCAGGAAATTTTGTTTTGTCTGACCAGTAGACACCCTGACTATCGTTACTAGTATATAAACACGTTAGTTTTCACTTTCCCCAAAAATATCGATTTATGTAAAAAATGTGCCTGACCTAATACAGTACTTTAGTTTTTGGCACAAGGGGAAAAAAATAGATTTTGTTTAAATTTCATACAAAGGTACTACTGTACTTTACATGCTGATGTAGGATCTGGGTTCACAATTTAATCAGTTGAGTAATTAATATAAATTAATGAGCTTTGAAACAATGAAAGATATTTAGAATACTGTACACTGTACTCCTGTATTTATAAATTCAATTAAACTTTGCCGGATTCCTGTAATTAAGTGAGATATAAGGGGGAGGAAGGGGGATAAAGGTGAGGAAAAAAATAGTTGATTATGCAATCTTGAAACCTTTCTGTCTAAGCCAACCCCAATGGTTAGTTAGTCTGGTGAATGATTTTTTTTATTTAATGGGGATTAGCCCACCTGAGCACAGGTCACTGACCCACATCAGGGCCTGGGGGGGTGGAAATATAATAATAATAATAATTAATAAAATTAGATAAAAATTATAACCAAAAAATAAAAATACTAATAATAATAACAACAACCATAAATAAACACACAAACGAAAAAAAATAAATCAAGAATGAGAAACAATATACAGCATGTTGTGTTGTTAATAGTAAGAGAAACAATTGAAACCCTGCAATTGTGTGTAAATGAGGCAGAAAGTCAGATCAGCAACCTGGGACTTGGTCACAATTTTTTTGATCGTATATGGCAGCAAGGTCTAGCTTCCAATATCTTTCCAGGCGGTAGTAACTCCCTGTTTGATAACATAGATATAAGATGCTCTGTGATAGTAGTTGTAAATGAAGATTGAAATTAAAGTAGAATAACAGATGACGTAAATGTTTGAAAGAGATATGTCAGTTAGAGACTCAGGGAAGGTGCTGTACCAAGTTGGTGGTGTGGTGTGTCACCTTGGGGACACATAGATCAAGTTCATTATTATTTCATTAACTTTATTGTGATTATTATTATTATTATTATTATTATTATTATTATTATTAGTTCTAGTAGTAGTAGTAGTAGTAGTACTGTAGTAGATTTATGTCATAGGTGTATAATGAACATATACTGTAAAAAAAATCATTTTGTAAACAGGAGCAGGACAAGATAGAAGAAAAAGGTGGCATTGATGTGCATCAAATACGCAGTGTCAAGGTTAACAGAGGTGGCAGTAGACACATTCCCAAGGCATTTGAAATATTCACTGATAATAAATCCTTTGTACTAAAAGCCAAGGTGAGTTTATTAAACAAGTTTAGTTTGAGCCAAGTGTATGGTACTTTATTTTCTTGTAATGATAAATGGTTGCTGCTATGAGAATGCAGTACAGTACTGGAAAAATAATATAAGACTAACATACTGTATAGTGCACAAATTTCACTTTCCTCTCCTTAATATTGTAAAGTTTCAGGGAAGTAACACTTGTTTTCTGTTTACCATTTATCTCTGACATAACTAGGGTTCATGGGAAATTTCTTTAAGGTCTTCTCAGCACTCCCATACAGATATCTGCACTCCAACTTTAATTACTGTATCACAGAGTCATTTTATCTGATCTTTTTATACATCCATCATCTCCTTGTAAACACACTCAGCAGCTCTTTCTTGTCAAAAAACACCAATGCATTTTTACTTCTACTTCCTTGTTCAAGAAAAATTTATGTCACGAGTAAGTTCAACACATTTATAAATTATAGTGTCTTGCTTTCTCAAAGTTATACAGTACAGTCTAGCCTTTCATGGTGTATGATTGATAACTTGGAGATAGAAAGCACAGCCCCAGTATTTAGCTCGGTGAAAAGAAAATAATAAAGGCAGTAGAATATGAATAATAGATATTGCTGAAGATTAAAGAGGGAGAAAATTTTAATACTGTACACTGTCAAGAACTACATAAATGAAATGTTGTTCTCAGAATTAGTTTCTAGAAAAAAATTCATCACTTACGACATTTTTGGTCTAATTTGGAAGTGAGATAAGATTGGTTCTTGGAAAAATTTCTTTTGTGCAAGAAAATGATGGGTACTAATAAGGAGTTATCTAGTCAACACCTGTATCTTACAGTTATAAGAGAGTTGTCTACTTGTACAGAACTGAAGGCGATTGTTTCAGCTTATTTCATGTGTGCGATGGGAGGAATGCCATGCTCTAGGGATTGGTTTAATTTTTCAGACTTTATTTTAGTACAGTATAAGGTAGAGTTAACACAGCCCTTGCAGTAAGTCAAATTCAGGCAGTAGTCAACCACATGACTATAGTTAGTTGGTACGTTGATACATCTTAGTTGTTAGCAGGATGAACCTTATAGGCCACTGGATCCACATTAGCACTTGAAGCTTCTTTTCCACCTCAATCATTTGATATAGCTGGCTTCTGCTACTTAGGTGACCTGTAAGAAGCTGCAAGCCATAAATAAATGACTGAAATTCCATTTTATGACAGCCTGAACTAAGTAACTTGAGTCTTTGCTCCTCCCTGGGGGTCACAGGCAGAATGTGCAATGTTGGTGTGATATCGTGGCTCAGTAGCCTTTGGCCTTTCATGGTAACTTTTGTTTCCAATTAGTATACCTTTTGGGGGAATGTGGTAGCAACAGGGAGGTTTTACTAATGCAGTAAATGGATTAGTAACAGCAGATCTTGTCCCAGGGTTTCCTGGGTATTGACCCTGTACAGTACATAAAATTAATTGGCTATTACACAAATTGCTTGATCCAGGCTTGTTCATGAAGTATAATTTCAGGATCAACCCTTCAATTTTACTTTTTTTCTAATTAAAAATGTAATTAAGTGATTCATTGGCATTTGAAAGTTTTTGGAGGTGTGAGTACAGTATGTGAGAGTTGATTGTTATATCAATTGGTGTAAAAAGTGTAATATTCTTTTTTCTCCTTTCAGCATGAGAAAAGGGGGAGGGATAGTGATGTTGAACCCAACTAATTTTCCCCATTTAATTATAAAAATAATATTCATTGGGGTTAGTTGCATCACAAGAAGGTTGAGTCATTGGGAGCTCTTTCTCATTGGTCATTGGCCAGCTCTCCTTGCTTATCCCACCCTTCTTCCCATGTACTGTAGTTAAATATAATGAGGTTTTAATGCACACTATGTACAGATTGATGTGTGTGTGTATTTGAATGGGTTTGTGCGCTTTAATAATGTACTGTATAATTTAAATCCTTAGGACTCCAGTAATGCAGAGGAGTGGATACGGTGTTTATCCATCGTGGTTGCACATTCCCACGCTCGGGAGGAACAAAGTCACGGACCGCTTAAAACCACCACATCCATTCCCCGTAGCTTTATGTATGGGTATCACTCATCCAACATGCGTACGGCTGTGTAAGCTCTAGTTTTAAATAAATTAAAGAAGTTTTCTAACATCACTATTCTACTGTACTGTAGTCTCTTGTGTATGGCATTGGCCACATTATATTTTGTATGATTGCTTTAAAAATGTATTAGGTCAGTCAGACAAGATTTATGAAATTTATATAACTGTTGATGTTAAAAATTGTTATAAGATATAATATTTATACTCCAAAGTTTATGTGACTAAAATATTTCTTATAAATTCTGAAACTTAATGAAGTACGTACAGGTTGACCATGATTTACGGAAGGGTTGCGTTCCTGAAAAGTTTGTAAATCAAAGCGTATTTTCCCATTGACAAGCATTATAAACGGGGAGATTCACTCCTGTGATAAAAGAAGATATAATCAGACATATAATAAAATGAACTAAAGAAACAATAATTGTAAACATTGAAGTTAATCATAACTGTACAATACAGGAACACTTCAGGCAGTTAATGAACAGGTCAGAGTGAAGGACCAGTTCATAAGGCAGTTGTTTAGATCCCAAAAGCTAATAACACTTTAGAAAAATGTAAGTATGGGGGTCAGGTTTAGTAGTAAGTATCACAAGCCATAATTATATTTAATAGAATTTTTTTTTATCGGTGAGAATTTTTTTTTATCGGTGCTGTCCTTAAAAAATTACATTCCATTGTCACTACTTTCAGCAGCCTCTACAAACAGTTTTTCTGCTTTCTCTAATGAGTATTAAGGTAAATTTATTGAGTAAATATTGTATTTCTGTTGATAAGTATGGCTGTTGAACTCGTTTTGTTATTCAATAATAACATTAAAAGATAAAACTATTCGTCTACCCCCGTGTCTGCCAGCCAGTTGTGGTTTGTTGCCTGGCTCCATTAATTTGTATTTTCTTCACACATCTGTTGCTTCCTTTCATCAACATGTAACAGTTCAGCAATCTAACTTGATAGATTTCTGGTTAACAGTCACACAAAAAACATCATAGGAATTAAATTAGGGGGTATAGTATCTCTGCCAATAAGCTGTAGCCTCATGAACCTGCAGTCACAATGCATCAGTTGAAAGCAAGATTTCGTGCAGCTTCCTTTGATTTAAGTAAAAAAAAAGTCATCTTTACTTACTGGTTTATATGCATAGATCATAGATAAGAAGGCTTTATTGAACTTGTTTTGATATTTAATAAGATATAAGAAAAACGTGTTCATGATTGCTTCTCTGCTAAACACCCAGGGATGGAACATTGATTTATGTTGGTAAATGTCAATAAACATTAGTAATTTCCATATAGTACTGGTATTTGTAGAAGTAATATTTCGTTTCTGCTTCATTTGTTTGCAAATTAAAGGGAACATTCGCATACAGCCAGTTAGGTTCTGGGAGGCTTGTTTGTAAGCTGAACATTCATTAACTAGGGTGTTCCTGTACGTGCAATACTGATGAGTTTAATCCAAACTAAGATGAATTCTACTTAATATAAACTATGGGTGGTCGCTGCCCCGTCACTGCTGCCGTCCATGACAAAAAGCAACTGCCACTAATGGTTGCGATAAACATAACTTATAGTTGCAATAATTAGCTATAATTTACAGTATATATTTTGTATATAATACATTTAGTACATGATACAGTTTCCCAGCTGATGTATGGCCCTTCAGGTGTCTCCTGTATTATGGTGTACACAAATTTTCTCTGCTGTTTCAGTGGTTGTCAAAACACGGTAAAAAAAACAAAATTATTGACCTTGAGTTCCTTTGGTGTACAACACATGCCATGACCTTTCCAGTCATTACTGTACTGAGATAAATGCAGTACAGTATATGGTTTTATCTTCCATATTATTTACTCTCATATACTAAACTATCATTTAATACTAATATTTAGTGTTTTAACCTGGCATGGCTATATAGTACAGCAGACATGGGCAACCCGCGGCCTGGACCATGTGTTTGTGCGGCCCGTGGAGTGATTGAGAAATTCTATCTTATGTGGCCCGCGGTTCAGGTAGACGCAGCTAGTTTATGGTGAGGAAAGCAATATTTATTTAAAGAATAATCTTGACACAATTCGTTTCTGTTTCATCGCCTAAGAGTAAATAACTACGAAAATGTTACAGTGAAATAAGTATACAGTAATAGTCAACAATATAAACATGTTAACTTGTATGAGTTTACGGACCAAGTTCGGCTCGGTCTGTTTGATGGACTAGTTGCTATGTGGCAGTAGGTCACTTGGGAATTAACAAAGGTTGGATAAGTCAAAGTGGGGCCACGGGCAGTGGTCACACAGGGTTTATCTAATTAAGTACTTCCATTATAACACAGAGGTACTCCTGATCATGCTGAGTCTGAATCTATGGTCTATGATTCGATTGTGGGAGGATTATTGGTTGTAATGACGCTTGCACGATATTAATTACATTATTTCAATGCTAATTACTCGCCAATTATGGGTTCCGAGGTGTGATTTTGGTGTTTGTGTGTTATACTGGAAGTACTTAATTAGCTAAACCCTGAGAGAGAGAGATGCCTTTAGGTTGTTTCATTGTAGTTCCTCATATTCCAAGATTAACATTGGCATTATTCTGGTGGGTGTCTCTCATAAGTAAGAAAAATGCTGTAGCTGTAGGAAAAATCAACGTATGCACCAACTATTTCACTCATCTTCTATTAAATGCCAAGAAATTTAACATATTACCTAAAAAAAAATTTGCTAATAAAATATTAACATTACTTTTGGGTTAGGTAGGATATAAATTTTGGTGGGTTGGCCCTCAGAAAAATACCTAAATCGTAATGCGGCCCATGACTGAGGAAAGGTTGCCCATGTCTGCAGTACTGTATGCGTATTCTGTATTTTGGGGAAGAATTAAAAGGTAAATTATTATTTATTTTTTATCTCTCTCTTTCTCTTCCATACTCATATAATCCCTTATTATATTATTTCTCATTAGACTCACTTTACATGGTACTTTTTAGGAACACATCGTGTACGTTAAGTCAGGAGGAGTTGGTGCATCTACCTATGTAATTAGAATATACAGAAAAGCTTCATTAACACTGGGGTTTTAGCTCATAAATTAATACATGGAATAAAAAATAAATTATTCTCTTCAGTAATCCATAAATTGGGTAGCTGTAAATCAGGGTCTACCTGTACATACGGTATATGTAAAATGCTTAATATGATCTTTGATAAAATTGACACACACACAAAGTTAGTAATGGGAAAGTTGATTGTGAGGGTAACAACATGTGAAACTTGAGTTATTCACTGTTTTTATTAATGGGATATGTGTACAGTATATTGTTGATAGAATAGATTTGTTGATTTACATATACTTAGTTCAATGTTGTGAACTGTTGACAATTAATTACTGATTACAGTACTTTTTATGATAAACTCTACAGGCAAGAACTATATTTTTTCAACAATTAAAAAAAAAATACATTGAGGCGTTAAGCTACAATATTGTGGCTGGTAACATCTCTGTGAATGCTAATCAAATAGTACTACGTTTCCTGCAAATTTTCCTGTTTGCACTTAGTGAAATAAGCCAGTATAAAACCATTTCCACATTTGTTTTCACACACAGTTTATTTACCCTTTAAGAGTGTCTCATTTAACTGCTTTACTGGATAGCAGCTCTTAAGTTTTTCTCAGCATCCACTCTAACCATAGTTTAATAATACAATGGCAGCCATACTGTATGTCTTTCACCTGTGATCCTGACACTTTTAATTGAATGCAGTGTGGCTTCTTCATTTATCAATTGATCATCATTAATAGTGAGGTTTTGTTACTGACATAAACTTCACTCAACATTGTTTTCTTTTTCATATTGATATATACTTTTCCCCTTATTCCAAGAATTAACAAAAGTAATTGGTTTAATGAGCATCATCTTAGTATAGCAAGAAAAGGGATTAACAGTTAGATTCGGAGATAGTTATATCTTTGTGTGTCAGGTTCATTTGAACAGCTTATAATGTAGAGAAATGTGTTTGAGCCTCCCCTCCCTACAAGCTGTCATCATGAACATTTGTTGGTCCTTCCATGGCTTTGACAATACAAGATCATCAAGTTTCATTAGTCTTCTCATCCATGTAAGATCATCACTTCTTCTTGTCCTTTTTCAAGCCACCCAATGTTCATATCACTGTCCTAGTAATAATTTAAATATCTGATAAGAATGATGCAAAATGTCAACCTTTTGGTGTTATAGGGCTCAACACCTCTATAAACCCACTGTATAATCATTGAAGAACAATTTTAGAGTATCACAGGGGAGGAGAATGATGGATAACATGTTTGATTATTTTTAATAATAATTGTATCTACAATCTGTAGCTATAATATGTTAACACTCATGCACGTGGGCGAGAGCACTTTTGTGTACAGCATCTCCCTCTTTTCCTTCATATTTGTTAAGTCTTTGTACAGTACCACTTTCTTCCCTGTACAAGGTAAATGAATTGAACTACTTTAACCTAACCTGTTGATTATGGTGCAATATATGCCTGATTATTACCTCAAACAATACACGAGTTACACATACGGTAAATATAAGGAATTATCAGACTCATAAATAATTATAAGGATCGGTCAGAAACTTTCATGTGTATATATAAGGCATTGTCAGAAAATAATTTTTTCCTCATTTAATACTGATTTTTGAGCAAAATATCAAACTAGAGGTGTGAGGGTATGAAGAGAATAAATGACAAGACTTAACAGGTTTCCTAAATATGTGATGCCTATCATATAAATTTCTCTAAGTTTAGCTGCCCACACATATGAAACTATGTATTTCACTGAATATTTTCCTTGTGTTTAGGTCATTTACATAGTTATAGTCAGTATGGTTTTCAATTTCTGTTGGCTCATGGGGGTTTTATAATAATTCTCATCACAAGGAGTTATCATTTTTTATTATTAATATGAACTCTAATGCTCAATGCAATATTTACTCACTTAACATTTTTTGGTTCCTTTAATGGAAGTATAATGTGGGTAGTTTGGTATAGAACCATTTATACGGTGGAGTAGAATAACCTAAATACCATTTTTTTCTGTCTACTGTATTAGAATATCGACAAGTTCAAATACTGTGTGGCTTTTAGGATACATTCAAATTTTTGACATAAATTGTTTATACATTTTAGAATAATTATTACATTATGTTCATCTATATATTTCCACATAAACACCAGCGTGCCTACATACTCTAAACACTATATGGTCATGTGCTATGCTGGTGCAAATGTTTGCAGTGACAATAAGACTTTTGTGGCTTTGTGAATTTAAAATCTCCTTCACTGCTTGAGACATAATCAAGTTTCACAACAAATGCCTCTCCCAAATTCATACCATATTGTAGCCAGTAGTGTTTCTTTTTGCCTAGAGCCTCATTTGTCCTGTCATATTGAAAGGAGAATCTTTCTTGATGTGCTGGTAATAAAACATATTGTAATCTGCATGATACAGACTCAACACATTATAATTAGGCAGTGAAGACTCTGTTATAATATACCTGTTAGATTTCAAGGTGAAGTACTAAATGCTGATAAATGAGCTGTCTTGCTTCCAAGTACTGGGTAATTTAAATATGTAAAAAATTAATAGGCGCAGAACTTGTTATTACAGTAGTTGTGGATGTGGCCCATTATCATACACACTGGGGAGAAAAAGTCCAGTTCCATCAGATTTTGCAATGCATCACATCCATGCCGTCCACATTCACTATATGATCTCTACAACCCTCTGTTTTTAGGTACTGATGCTTTATTATATTGATTTTACTCTATTTTGTGTTATATATATATATATATATATATATATATATATATATATATATATATATATATATATATATATATATATATATATATATATATTCTGTCCTCAGTGCATAATCACTAAATATATATATATATATATATATATATATATATATATATATGGTCTTAAATCGTTTTGTAGGGTTGAATACATGTTTTAAAAGCTCCCTTTAAAACTTAAATGTAAAGTATCAGAAGATTATAAAGAAAGTTATCATGATGTGGTATAGGAGTTAAATGTACTATTATGTTGTAAGGGAAAATGCTTGATAAGTTTATCATCATAGCTAGACTGGATACTGTACAAAGTAGTCTTTGGTTGTACTATTTAGCATGGTAGGAACAATGGTACTGTACACATGTTAAAGATCACCAGCTAAATACTGTTTATGATTAGGTAATAATTCAATATAAATAAGTTTATAGATGTAATGAGTTTTAAGAGGTCTTCATGTGAAAAATATGATCATTAGCTTTTTCTTAATACAGTGCAGTACTGTAAAGCCCTTACTGTATAGTGTTTGGGGCAAGTTTGTAAAATAAATGTTAGCATTTTTATATTGAAAAAATACTACAATTTATTGTAGGGTATCAGTCAAGAATAATTTTTATATGTTATCAGAAGTGTGAGTATGGGAGACTTGTCGGTGAAGTACTGTATTTACAGGCCAGACTTGCCTTACTGAGAGAAGAACTACAGATGGTTAAACTTTTATGTTCCAGTTTATTATCATACTGTAGTAGGAATTTAAATATATGGATAATTCATGACTCACTTTGCCCATTGAAGGAAAGAAGTGTATATAAAGTTGGAAGATTATACGTGTACAGGTTGACAACCCTTTATCCGAAAACCGAAAAGCTCTGAAAACCGAAAGTTTTTTTGTGGAGCATTTTTTTTTTTTTTTTTTTTAACAGGTATTAGCTCACCCAGGCATAGATCACTGACCCACATCGGGGCCTGGGGGGCGAAAATGTAATCGTAATACTACTGTAATTATAATAATAATTATTCATAGTAAATAGAAATTTTAATAAAAAATACACCTAGACCTATGAATTATTATTATTATTATTATTATTATTATTATTATTATTATTATTATTATTATTATTATTATAATTATTATTATATTTTTGCCTCCCAGGCCCCAAATAACCATTCTGAAAACCGAAAAATTCCGAAATCCGAAATACCTCTGGCCCCAAGGATTTCGGATAAGGGATTGTCAACCTGTATATGCAATTCAGTTAACCCTTTGGTTCCTGGAAGTTTTACTGTACTGTACTTCAAATCTTACAAATTTTGAATGTTCATTTTATCACGGCAATAGTGAAGAACCCCTTCAAGTTAACCATAAAATCATTGGGGATAAATGTTACCAGGTACTATATGCGTTGTCATGCATGAAGGCCTAATAGTTTATTGACAAAAATGTGTTCTCAAGAATTGTACTTAATTATTAATATTTTGGAGTTTTAAGCCATTCCTCATCTCATGTATTTGGTGTTGAATCATTAATTTTAATGTGCAATTACTCATACACTGTACTGTAATATGTTACAATATATTCTAGTTGTTGTGTGAATATTATATTCATTATGAGGATTAAGGGTAGGTAGTATTGTACAGTACTTGTTTAGAAAACCCCTCCTTAAGAATAGTGATTTTGTTATGTATGAGCTGAATACTGTACTTCAGTATTTAGGTACTATATCTCATAGTTTAGCATTGACTTAATGTTCTAATAATGAATATCTATATTCACAAAGATGAAATGGATATACGAGTAATTTGTATGTCTTTAAATTTCGGCAATTTCATTGTGAACAATTGTATGTTTAACTGAAAAAGATTAATATTCACCTGAAAAGTTTTATCCACAATTGAAATTGGAGTAATAAAATTGGTAGATGAAGTCCATTGAATATACTGTACTGTATACCTGTAGTTATTATTTCTTAGGATAATACTTAATGTTGATCAGGTTTGTTGTCAGCAGTGTTCTGGTTATTGTTCTGTTGTCTGTATCTGTGCTTAACCACTTTTTTCCTTGTATTATAATTAGATCATGGTACTGTACTTGATAAGACCTGAAGATTATGGTACTAATGATTTCTATACATCACAATACAGTAATCACCCAGGTTATTGAAGGGATGCATCACAGAAAAGTACTGTAATGTTGAACCCCATTTTGCCATTGATTTCCATTATATAATTGGAAATGTGTTCTTAAAGAAACTTTTTCAGCAACGAAAATAAACATTTTTAAACACATACATTGATTATTTTAAGATATAATATGATAATAAATACACAAAACACTTGAATTTAACTTACCACAAACGATGTTGAGTGCTGCATAATGTAAGGTGGTGCAATGGGAGTTATTAGGGGATGTAACAAGCCCTGATGTTTGTTGCAGTCTGGCTAAGTTTTTCTCACTCAACAGACCTTAAAACTTCGCATTTTATATCCAACATAATTCCTTTATGGGCTTGTTTTTAACATTACTGCTTTCATTTGTACTTGATAATCTCTTTCCACTCATCTTGAATAAGGGTAACACATTGGGCAGTCTTGAATAAGATACGTACCTAAGTGTTATAACTAAGTGCTGGGGTCAGGAGACCAAGCGTACATGCTGGGAGATATAAACAAACTTGAGTTCAGCGGCATAAGTGCACCAGAAATCCACACCAAATAAATATAATTTCTGTGACACCCCCATACCCCCATATATTGCATCTTTTGAACATTTTCCCCTATTTCCGTGAGGTCAAATTTATGGATTGTATCCAGAATTTAGTGGTCATAATTTACAAATTCCTTCAGGGTGAATTTCTGTGAGTTTCTGTAATGTGGGGTATATCTGTATACTACCTGTAGTAGATTGTTATCAGTTCTTAATACTTCTTATGAGTTTGAGATATGAAATATAAAACTTACAAATTTAATGTCTTAGAGCACACACACACAGGCACATACAGTTTCTTTTGTCATGTATCCACCTTTGTTTGTCATGAATTATTCTTGTATATATTGAATTTATTCAATACTGCAGTATTTACCTTACTACCTTGTGAAGTACAGTATACATACAGAGTAGATGAAGTAAATTCATCTCACACATGTAACTTTTTTATATGTAAATGTGGTATAATTTTTATGAGGTAGAATGTGATTATTTTGATTACATCTTTACAAAGTATATCTTAATTAACAAATTAGCATTAAAAAAGTAAGTGGTGAGATGTGGGATAATCTTACTTCTCACAAGACAAATGAATACCTTCTTTTGTTCATGCAGCTTTGTGGATTGTTTTCTAAAGCTTATGTTTGTATATATATATAATACTTTAAATCTGTATATATTTGACTCATCTGTACATATATATATATTTACAACTTTAAATGTCTTCCAAGTCATGAATGTGGACCAATAATTTGTATATTTCCTAAATACTGTATTAATGTTGTTGGTGAAGGGCAGACACTTGATCCTGGATTCGATGTAGAAATTGTATACCTGTTACACTTTAATTTTTGTATCAAACAATGTAGGAACAAGTGCCTAGCAAATTTAATTTATCCCATGGCTTTCTCTTCCATTAACTACCAAAGATTCCTTATACATTTGTATTCATTATTTATCCAGATACTTTTTTCATAAAGTCAAGGGACACTGTAGTTATGTAACAGTGATTGTTATTACTGTACAGTATAGTAAAAGTTATCATCTTACTTGGATTGCAGCTGTACATTGTGAGCTCCAAATGTTAGGAGTAAATAATATCTGTGTCTGCTAGGACAATTGAGAAAGATAAGTAGTAGGGATACATTTTGTGGAAAAAAAAAAATATTTTTTTTAAATGTGAATGTGTAATGTATGGAAGATTACACTTGAAGATCATTGTGCTAATGCTACATATGATCCAAATTTAACTTGTTACAATGTATTTCGCTTTGTTTACACTGTTAACAATTTGAATGATCTAATTTTATACGCTTGACTTTAATATTGACAGCATATTTATTGAACTATATGTTCCTGCTGCTTGGAGAGCCCACCATTTTAGCTGGTCTACTGATAATGGAAATGTAACAACAGTGATGTATGAGGTTCAGTGATGTAGGAATCTCGGTTATGTGTACATTTTCACTACACAGTCTTTTCTAGTGAAAATGCATAGAGTATTCACATTGTCTGTCGAAATGTCCTTTTATAATTTTTATTAAATATCAGAATTAATTAAAGTAAATTTCATATAATATATATATATATATATATACAGTCAACCCTCACTTTACGCGGTCCCACATACCGCGTTTCCACGTTTAAGCGGTGCCCTGCTGGAACCTAACATGCTCACATTCCGCGGTGCGTGTACCCCATTACGCGGAGAGCGGCTGGCGAGCCACGCCATTTTTGGATCCAAACCTCCCGCCATCCGCCATGTTGTGTAAGCGGCGCGAACATGGTGCACACAAGGTCGCCCAGTCATCAAAACATTACCAGTTCTTCACCCGCCACCCACTACAGCCGGCCCAAGTCAGTGATAGTGATAATGATAGTGAGGATATGGACTTATATGAACTTTGGGGGGTTTGACAAAGAGGCCCTGCAAGCCTCTGTGGTGGATAGTGATACAATTGATACAAGTGATACAGGTGAGGGCCAATAATCTGCCCTCTGCCTCGGAACCAACCGCCCATCCCCGTGTGCCCAGCCATGTTTTCTACAAATGTAAGTGTTAAAAAACCTAATATTATTGATATTTCTCTTAATTATTAATTGTGTGTGCATGCCATAAAGTTAAGATAATATTTTTACTACAACATAGTTGTGTGTCGTCAAAAAGTGGAGTTTGGGGGTCGGCCCGGACTCTATTTCAATTAATCCCATATGTTATGTTATTCACTTTACGTGTTCCTCGCTTTCCACGGCAACCTGTGGGTTGCATTAACCGCGTTAAGTGAGGGTTGACTGTATATGTATATGCTGATAACCACAAGGAAAGAAGAAAACACGAAGTTCCCAAGCGCTTTCGTGTAATTCACATCTTCAGGGGTGAGTACAGACTAGAGAGAGAAATACAAACCAAGGTGTATATATACAGAGGAGGGTGAGACCAGGTCCACAATGGTCAGGTATTAGGTAATGACCCTACTAATCTTTAAATAGCACACAACGGTTGGTGGTCAGGTGTGCTATTTAAAGATTAGTAGGTGACCATTGTGGACCTGACCCTATATACACCTATTTCTCTCTCTCTTTAAGTGTTTTCTTCTTTTCTTGTCATATATATATATATATATATATATATATATATATATATATATATATATATATATATATATATATATATATATATATATATATATATATATATATCTCCATTTTCTTGGTAGTTCCAGCATTTAATGATTTAATGCCAATGAATACAGCCTTACAACAGTACAGTACTTAAGATAAAGAATGTGTCATTTTGTACTGCTGGGATGTATAAAACAGTGACTAGTCTTAGGCCTGAAACACACCTGACATTTCACATGTGGCATCACATAAAACTGCTAAATAGTAAAACAATTTGTATCTGGCAGTTTAGCAGTACTGTATACTGTAGTCTTCTTATGTTACAAGTGGGAGTTTAAATAAGATTTTAATCATAATAAATATAAGTTACAGTTATAGGAAGAGGCACCATTGGTTACTTTGTTGACTAAAAACATACTGTATTGATATTTCTATAAACTACTGTATATTATGTTGACTGTTATATATTATTCAAGACAATTGAATGTGTAGTGATCATTACTTTCTTGGATCACATACAGTATACTACATTCCATGTACAGTCTCGTTCAAGATTCTTCGAAACAGCTAGAGACAGCTGGCAACGCAAGGCTTTTTGTTTACTATAGTACGTAGTATAATATAATACAGGTTGACAATTCCTTATCTGAAAACCGAAAGTTTTTTAGTGGGGCAAAACTCTTCTTCTTTTTTTACACAGGGCTTAGCCCACCCAGGCACAGGTCACTGACCCACATTGGGGCCTAGGGGATGAAAATGTAGTACAGGTATTAATAATAATAATAATAGCTATCATTCATAGTAAATATAATTTATAATAAAAAATACACAAAAATAAAATAATAATGATAACAATAATAATAATAATAAAAATATTAATAATAAAGAAATACAAGATTGAAAAAAAAATCAAAAGTGAGAAACATGACCAATGAATTATTATTACTACTACTATTACTATATTTCCTCCCCCTCTCCCCCAGGCCCTGACGTGGGTCTGTGACCTGTGCCCGGGTGGGCTAATCCCTGTAAAAAAAACAAAAACAACCTAACCATTCTGAAATCCGAAAAATTCCGAAATCCGAAATACATCGGAAAAGGGATTGTCAACCAGGTTGACTATCCTTATCCGAAATCCTTAGGGCCAGATGTTTCCGGAATTTTTCGGATTTCAGAATGAATAGGTTAGGTATTTTATTTTATTTTATTTTTTAAACGGGGATTAGCCCACCCGGGCACAGGTCACAGACCCACATCAGGGCCTGGAGGGCAAAAATAGTAATAATAATAATGTCTAGGTTGTGTTTCGATCTTTTTTTCATTCTTGTACTGTAGTATCTCTTTATTATTATTAATATTTTTATTATTATTATTTTATTTTTCTGTATTTTTTATTATAAATTGTATTTACTATTTATATAGGTGAATGATTATTATTAGTTACTACTACATTCCCCCCGGGCCCCAATGTGGGTCAGTGATCTGAGCCCGCGTGGGCTAAATCCTGCATAGAAAAAACAAGTTTTGCTCCACGAAAAAACTTCAGTTTTCGGAAAAGGGATTGTCAACCTGTAGCTATAATTTGAGAACTTTGTATAGCAATAGTTTAACAATTTACCTTAATTATCAGCAATTTATATTTTACGTGTTCACAACTGACTTTGTAACCAATTAATTTTTCTTCTGGATAAACTTTTGTATTTTTTTTTCCAAATGTTGTACATGTTAAAAATGATTTTCTAGGCAGTGTAACTTCAAGAGGATATGTGATGTTTGTGGCAACTTGGGGATGTGTGATGCTCCCATAAGGTCTACGTGATGCTTCTAGGGGTGCTCATAAGTTGCTAGTTGTGTTCAGCTAGTAAGGGCTAAGTGATGACATCAAAGGCTGTCTGTCACTGCTAGGGACTGTGAGGCTGCCAAGGTCTGGTTGCTGAGGTTTGTCTGAGCCCCCTACTATAGAGATAGGCGAGACACATCGACCAAGGTACACTGGTAGCCTTGCATGATCCAGGTTGGGTCGCCTTTATGCGATTCTGTGTACACAGGTTGTAGTACCATAAGGGCAACCTAACCTAGCAGTAACCTGGTGTCA